ACGCCAGACTGGACCATGAGACCACACTGTTCAACCTGCTGCTTTTTGTCTTGGAGGAGCCAAGGTACTTTGCCAGGGAGGATATGAAAGTGCAGGCACTCAAATCCTGCTGTGGAACCATGGGTTTAACTGCCACCACAGCATCTATATGGGCTGCCATGTGGGATTGCACACTACTATGAGTGCTCACCAGCAGAAGACTGGATCAGTCCTTGCAGGTTACACAGGGGAAAAAACATGGCTATTGCAGCTAACCGCCCTAATAAAAACAGTTTGAAACCATTCGTAAGCTTTTGCTGGTAGCAGAAAAATCAGAAGAGGGCTTTTAAAAATTCAGTCTAAATTCTGTGGATAAAGGACACTTGTAGCAGCATTGGTGCACAGAATGGCCTATGTGGGTTTTTTCCCCCAAATTTCACTGTAAGAAGAACCCCACCTAAATTTTTACTGTTAATGTAGTTGGATCAAATTTGTTTAAATAATTAGAGGTCAGAGTAACACAACTGACACATCAGATATGATTACAGATAATCCATATGCATTCAAATGATTGTGCCTCTATTTCTGTAGGAATTTCAACTGAGTATCTCTAATACATGATCAGTATGTATAAATTAATATATTTATGTTACATTAATGTTTTATGTTTTAAAATACTACACTAAGTGATTGAAAATTTTACCAAAAAAAATTTTACCAAAAAAAATGGTTTTAATGATATTTTTAAAATACTTGTATAAAGTTGATTTATATGTCATCAGACAAAGAAAGTGATATTCGTGGTCCAGGCTGATCTGATGTGCCGCATTGCTTTGGTTCACTAAGTCATCTTGTCTGTTAGTATCTACAGATAAAAATGGATTATACTCTTTGGAGTAGTCCATAACATTAATGATGAACAGAGATTAATTTTGATTCAGTTTAAGCCTTGCTGTGTCTGGATGCAGGTGGTAATGCTCTTACATCAGTGATTTTTGACCTAACATAGCTCCTCCTGCGTCCTGAATCAGTTCCACTCACTTTGCTAACTAATGCTTTTGAAAACATTTTTGCTGTTTCTGCACATCTGTATTCAGATGTATTTGTTGTGTTATGCTCAGCTTGTTTGTTGATTGCCACATTTCTTTTGTGGCACTGGCCCTACCAGGAATTGTATTTTACTGCAGTTCAAAATGAATGTTAGCATTGAATGTGAACTGTTACATTCAGTGTTTTCAATTCAAGCAGGATTTTCACAATGTTAATATTGGTATTGTCATAAAGTTGTTTGCTTTCATGGCTAAAAATTCTTTATCAGCCTAGTGAAGATGATACAAACAACATTCTGGAAGGCCTTTTCTGTTTGTATTTCCTTTATTCTGTTACTTACGCTTTCTTAGGGAGTGCTTCCTTTACAGTCTGAGTTAAATTATTTAGTAAATAGACAAGTGTTATTTATGGTTTTGCTGTGACACAGATCTGCTTTTCTGTATGTGAACAGAAGTTTACATGTGTAATTCAGGAAGGGCTTATTTATTCTGCTCTGTTGTGGTGGCCCTTAATTTCTTAAGTTCCTTAGACATGATGAGTTCTCTGATTTACTAGTATTCTCAATTTAAGATAATGGAGCCTTCTGGCTATGACTTAAGACTTACGACTTTTAAGATTTATAGTAGCTGTATTCCATTTTTCCATCTATGAGTAATTTGCACCTTGTTTTTCATTAGAAAAATACTTTTAATAAGGTTCTGTATTCATCATGAGAAAAAAATGGAAATCAATGATAAATTTTCTATATGCAGTCACATAATGACTTTTGAAATAGCATTGAGTAGGAAATCGTGTGCAGGAAGTAAAATTCACTTACTCTGGTTTTTTTTCGGAAGCTTGGTGAGGAATTCAGACCCAACTGCCTGTAATATTATGTTCCTCTTTGAGGATATCTAGCAGTCAAGTTGTAACACACTGCTTTTAAGATTAGTATCCATGTAGTAATAAATCTGTAATTTGTAACCAAATGCCTTCCTAGACAATCTATCTCCAGTAATATATTGTCAGACCACCATTACTGCTCTTACCTGGTTTTGATTAATTCTTACATAAACCCTACAGATTTGCTTGTTAATTTCTCAACTTAATTAAATTGATTGCTTGTTAATTTCTCAACTCCCTAACTTCTGCTCACATTAAGTGTCCTTTACAAAATTCAAACATTCAGCTACCAGTGGAAAATAAAGTGTCATGCTGGTATTAAGATAAACTGTCTGGATTAAAAAACAAGCCTTGATACACCATAGGAATCAATTATCTTGGTAAAGTCTGAAGGAAGACATTAGTTTTAGGATGTATTTTAAGATCAAGAAAGGCAGGACAAATGCTTTATGATAGATAATATTTATATTCTTAGTTAAGGGATTAGAAAAAATTAAAGCATTGGAAAGAGCAAAATGGGTATTTTTTAATTTGTTTTTAATTGTGTTGTCTTTATAACAAGGTCGTCATTATTGCTGAACATGCATAAATATAACAGCAGGCTTTACCAAATGCAGTGAAAATACGCTATTATGCTATGAAAAAAAGAAGAGTTGGAAATGGTGAAGTCACATTCCCATTTCATGTAAGAGTTCTAGAGCTGTTTTAGGAGTGAATGTAGCTTTATATTTGCAAGATAACTGAAGACAGGGCCCTTGCCTTTGCCTCTGTTCAGATGAGATGTACAGCATCTCACCAGTCCTCAAGTGAAAGGGCTGAAGGACAGATAAGTGATGAGCCACAGGTTGTACCCTTTGCAAATAACATTGCAATTTTTTGCTCAAATCCCATTTGCCTCCTTGAAACAGCAGTACTTCATGTGTGTAGATTTGGCTTAGTCTGTGGATATAAAAGCAAGTATGATAACCAGTTAACTTACAATTTCTCAGAAAATTAGACTGGAATCTTAAAAACTTCATATATCTATATTAAAACCCTTGACTGGCAGATATATTTTTACAGAAAAAACTTGAAGATGTTTTCAAATTTAGTCATGTATCACCCTCAGGGAGGCAGTGACAATTTCTTGCTGGGTAGAATCATAAGAGAGGCCAGGGAAGAATGCATGAGACTGGTGTGAGGAAATGGATATGATTTTTATTGAGATAACTTCTCAAAATTTTAATGTAAAACCACACAAAGATCTCTGTAGATAAGCAGAAAGATGTTCTACTCTCTCCTCAAAAGCCTATATATAATGCTGGTCCAAACAAGTATCATCCAATTAATTCCACTGGCTTTGTTGGAAAGTATAAAACACTATGAAGACTACCACCCTTAGCTGGATAAAATGACATTTTTCTAGTATCTAAGCAATTACAAATGCTACTGCCCTGGGTTCAGCAGTAGCAGTCATTTTTCTCCTTCTTAGTCGCTGGTGCAGTGCGGTGTTTTTGACTTTCAGCATGGGAACAGCGCAGATAACACCGATGTTTTTAGTTGCTGCTTAGTAGTGTTTACTCTGACCAAGGACCTTCTGAGCCTCATGCTCTGCCAGGGAGGAGAGGAAGCCAGGAGGAAGCAGAGACAGGACACCTGACCCAAACTAGGCAAAGAGGTATTCCATATCACAACATGTCATTCCCAGGATGTAAAAGTGGGGGCAGTTACCCAGAAGGGCTAGATCACTGCTGGGGTTGGGCTGGGTATCGGTCAGTGGGTGGTGAGCAGTTGTATTCTCTTCCCTTGTTATTTCCCTTATCATTATTATTATTGGTGGTAGCAGTAGTGGTTTGTGTTAAACCTTAGTTACTGGACTGTTCTTATCTCAACCCATGGGTGTTACATTCTTTCGATTCTCCTCCCCATCCCTCTGGGAGTAGGGGGAGAAAAAAGGGGGGGGAGTAAGCAAACAGCTGCGTGGTTTCTGAATGACAGGCTGGGCTTAAACCACGATTAATCTAATACACCTTCATTAGACACTGACTTCTTTTTGCAAATGGTATTTAACATGTTTTAGTTTTAATACTAAAATTGGATGGATAGAAGGACTAAGCAAAGGGGAATTTAATGGTGAGGAAAGAAAGTAAGCTGGAATAGTGGAAAGGAAGAGAGAGAAAATATTTGTATGAAGAAACTTTTTTGAGAAATACTCAGTAGAGGGTTTTATCTCCAAGTAATATATGAACATTTCCGTGCACATGTATCATATAGATAAACTTTTGAAAAATAAGACTCCTTTGCGATTGTGCTTAGTAACCCAAATTCTTTTGGATTACTTCAAATATTATTCCTAAATAATAGTAAGATAACCATTTTTCTTTAAATTGGCAGTTTGCCTCTTGAACATTTATCTCAAATTAAATTTGTGTGAACTGAAAATATATATATTTTTATTGGGCCTTGCTGCTGCTCACTGTCTAATCAGAAAATATGTGATAGATAACACCAGAAGCTCTTCTGGTCTTGAAGGAAATGTCTCATCAGGAAGGACTGCTAGAGAAGAGGGCTAAATATTAGCTATTGGATACTAGATCTATTTCTGCTTTGGAGAACAAAAGGCCACAGGTTAAATAAGTGAGTTTCTAACCCCATACTTTGAATTTTAATGGTGAAGGCTTTCACTGCTTAAAATATTTCTGTATTGATAGAGTAAGTAATTATTGCATTATAAGAATAGTTAATTATTATTTCTCTTTAAAGTATTATAATTAAAACTTCATGCAATTCATATATATTCCAAAAGTATTGGGTGGGTTTTGTTGGTGGTTTGAAGCATGTCCAAAAATTACAGATGGGGTAATGTTTGAAAAGGGTGATGACAATTTTTTAAAGCATAGAATGCCATTTCAGCCAAAGCATAAAGGTAGTCTGATGCTTTATTGGCATTTGAACCATAAAAGGCCTTTTAATATTTTGTTGAGATGTGTGTGGTAAATCAAATATTTGATTGTAGAGCAAAGCAAGAGGTGTGCTACGTGGGATTACAGTTATGATTATTTTTACCAATCATTTTATAACTCTGTCCTTTGCTTGTTTTCCATGCATAGGGAGTTGGCCTTTCAGTCCACGGACATTTCCGAGTTGCTACAGAAAAGACAGTTTTTGCAATGCCAGAAACAGCAATAGGTAAGTATTTTAACTGATTATGACATGCTAATGTGTTTAAAGTTTCACTGTTTGTGTAATGAAGATGAAATGTCTTTGACTGAAAATAGTTGAGGTAATGAAAGAATTTTAAAAAGGAATTGGAGGTGACCATGTGTGGAAAGTATCTTCTATTAAATTAGTAGCAACTTATCTATGTTCTGGCAAGCTGATCTTGAGGCTCTTAAACCTAGGGTTTACTGTCTAGACAACAAGAAGACTGTCAGGATACAGTCTGTAAAAAATGGAAGTAGATCTGAGGAGCTAAGTCTTTGCTACAGATGTAGGCAGATGACGTCTGAAGATCCCAGTGCAAGCATGTCAGCTCTGCATTTGGAATTCAGTGTGAGTCAAACTCACTGTACTACAAGCTGATCTGCAATGTTAATGAGACAGATTTTTAAATTCTACCTTTCCTTGTAGATTATTCATGTAAGCCCATTACAGTTGCATACAGATTGTGCCTAGACGAGATTGCAGTGTCATCTGTTTTAATAGCAGCATGTACTTTGTGTTTTCTAATGTTTGATCCTACAGCTTCTTTGTCAGCTGAGATGTATAAAATAAAATGTGTCTGAGAGCTGTATGAAGATGGTGGCATGGCTCAAGAAAAGTCAGTCTGATTACAGTGAAACCATTGTGAAATCATTCACATTTTCCTTCAAGACAATCCTGGCACCAACAGGGTATCCACATTGAACTATTACAGTCTGGCATATATACTCCATTAATGCTTTCGTCAGTGTTGAAGTCCCTTTTCCCTGCTTATCAACAATGTTTATGAAGAGTTCTCAAAGCCTGTAACCTATCCTGCATTCCTCTGCAAAAATTTTTAGTTTCTGTGTCTTTCCAAAGCAAGGCAGCTGAAGAATGATTACAGTTGTTATCTTTATGTCCTCAAGCAGGAAAATGAGAATAGTCTGAAATATGTGGCTCTGTTAAAAAAATTTTTGAGAGTATAGAATTATATACATAGTTATATGGCTTAAATGGTGGTGCTATTATGTTTAGCCTTAGTTTCATCTCAAAGAATCAATTGTGAGAAGTAGCGATCATTATATCAGGACTAAGTTGTAACATTCTGCTTTTGTTGAGAGTATTTTAAGTACAGTAATGTCATTACAGCTAACGTTAAAATGCATGCTTAGCTGATAGGATTTTTGTAGTGTGCCCTGTTCGTAATGCTTAAAAGGTCTATCATTTTTCATATTTTTAAAGGGAGTTTTACATATTACCTAATGTTTATTGCTATCCAGCCTGTATGAAACATTTCACAAGACATATTCTGAAATTCTTAAGATACTGAGCTGTGTCGTCAAAACATAACCCACCAAATATAAGCAAGCTCACTATCATTTTAACTCCTGCAAAAAATAGTAGAGCAGTTCCTGCTAGCTGTAATTTCTCTGATCAGATAAATTTGGGATGAGAAAAATAAGAACTTTTGAAGCCCTTCGGATATCCTTCTGTGCTGAAGGACAACATAGTAAACTAAGTAGCTCCAGCACTAATACAACATGGATTTGCTAAACTCCTGAAGTTCATAATCAGCTGCTGAACGATAAAACCATTTGAAAGAAACAATGCAGGTTTATTTGATTTTAAACTAAACAGAGAGGTTCTTTGGCATATGAAATTATTCTAATAATAAAAGATACCACCTTTGCTTTCTTTTTCAAAGGTAAAGATGTGAGTAGTGTTATTTAAAAAAAAAATATTTACATACATTTCTTGTGTTGACAAGGGCTTACTTTAAAACAGACCATGAAGACAAGTTAAAGGAAAAGCTTAAAACTTGCTTAGGAAAGAAAGTAATCAAAAGCCTTTTAGGATCAGTTAGAAATAAAACCGCTGAAAGCTGTTTGGGTTTAAAGGCTTAGCTGTTTTGATCTCTGTGGTGTATGTTTGAAGTGTCTAGCTGCCTAGATATTGTATTAATTGATTTTTTTCATATGTTCACTTGTTTCAGTAGGCATTAATTACACCTTTTCTGTGAAAGGAAAACAAACCATTCATTCAGCTGCTACATTTTCACACAATTGCTCTGCATTTATACACCATAAATAAAAGGATATAGATAGATATGCCACTTTGCAAATAGAAACAAAAGGCAACTCTAGGTTGCAGGATTTTGACATAGATAAGATAAAGCACTGGAAAGCAGCCTAGATGTAGGAGGGTGTGGAAAAAAACACTGGTGAGGAGAACAGAAGACGAAAGTATACATTGTAGGAGGTAGGCTTTAAAGTGATGTTATAATAATAGTGGACACTTTCTTGTAGATCCCTCTTAAGGTTTTAGCTTTCCATGAGTTATTTACTGATAAATCTCCATCTCTGGAAGATAAGGTAGGAATGTAGGAGTGCTACCTTTATCTTCTACTTGGCAACTGCAGAGTTTCACATTTGATTGCAGTTATATCTGTCTCAGAGTACAGACTGCAAGTCAGCATAGGCTTTTAGCCTCGTCAGCCCAGCAGACATTCAGTTCTTCTCTTATTTAAGTAGGGATCTGAGAAGTGATTGGTAAACGCTATCAAAAGGAAAAAAAAATCAAGTATATGGCATATGTTATGAAAAACCCAGTAACAAGTATGGGAAGCATTATTGAGAGAATTGAGAGGAATATGTAGAACAGGGACAAGAGAAGTAAAATTATAAGAAGAAAGGTATACAGGGACCTTGAAAAGGATACAGTAGAAGCTATAGGGAACTATATTTATACAGCTAAGTAAGTATAAAGTGGATTAGTCACACCTTCACTAATTCTGCTTTTAAATTCCTTAATAATTAAAAGAAACTTTCATTCAGTTTAGTGCCTCTAAAGCAACTTAAGGTAATCAGCTTAAGTTGCTGTAGAGCTTATTTAAAACTGATTTCCCTGTGTATAGCCATGTAGGAAGGCCCTATAGATCCCAGTAGGAAGATGGCTTTTCCTCCAAAAACTTACTGAAGCATGGGGAGAATAGTACTTCAGCATCAGTATTTTAATTGCAGTAAAGAGGAAAAGGTTGATGCAGTCCTGATGAATGGGGAGAATAATGTAATTGTCTTTTTATTTTGGAGGGCATTTATAAGTTTGGTTTTGAAATGAGGATTTTTTTTTCAGTAGTAGGATATCCAAGGGGAGACAGATGAATAGAAACATAAAACCAAATTACAGTCTTGGCATCAATATTCTGGATATGATGCCTCAAACTGAGACGGTAAAATGCAGAGTAGACTATTCGGAAAGTGAGTACAGATGGAGAATACAGGTGATGAATTGGGGTTTTAGGGCTTTTAAAGGACAAGACATTCAGCATTTTAGAACAGCCGTATGTCTCAGTAGCCTGTGGTATGAGGAATAAATCAGTTAATAGCAGCACACTTATCAGCGGGAACAGGAACAGAATACTAGAACTAATAGGAAGTGGTGCCTAAAAACAACTTTGTGATGTATTAGAGGCAGCAGAACTAAGGGAGGACAAAGAGGGAACCAGGGGAGGAGCTGAGAGATGGGTGAGGACCTAAGGCAGTGATAAAGTTTAAAGAGAAGCTGTCTGAAAGAAACCTCCACTTGTTTCCATCCAAGAGGGAGGAATATTCAGGGACCACTAATTTCCCACATCTTAAAATACTTGTCGTAGGGTCTTTCTGTAGTACATACATTGACTTTTTTCTCTTGTGACAGAAAGCAGTTACTAGTGAGTGAAAATTTACCACCTTCCATCAGAACCCCATTTAAAGTCCTTATGTACATCTTAATCTTCTTAGTAAATGTCTCTGCTTTGGCAAGTGTTTTCTGAGTTTCTTACTGATCACTTGTATTCTTTTTCATTTATGTCTCATTTATTCTCCCATAGTGAAAAACACACCACCACACTTAATTTCTTCAAAAGACTTTCAGTTTCATGAATGCACTCTCGGTCATTATTTCCAAGTAGTAACTGGACACTGCTTCTTTCCATTTCAGTTTCTGATATTGATACAGATAAGCTTAAGTTTCCTTAAGTTTGTTAAAATTTACAAGAAGTGGTTGACTTCATTTTATAGGCTATTATTGTAAATAATAGAATAAGGTAGATATTGACAGAGTGATGATTTGAAATATTTAAACTTGATAAAAGTCATATTTTTCAATTGCAACTTTTAAAAGTCTTTTAAATTTTATTCACAGCTTTAAATGGTTAAGGTTATCCTATTACATAGATTTAAAAAGTACGAATTTCAATCACTAAGTTGGGAAGTTTTATAATTTTTTAAAATTGCAGGTTAGTCATAGTCCTGTCAAAGAGCCAGGTTTTAGCTCAGCATCTCGTGCCTCCACCCTGAAGGCACCATGGCAATATTGTTGATCTGTTAATGAATTCTCAGCCCCCAAAATTGTTCAAACTCAGCTGTGCAAGAGGCACTTTATCATTATTTGACACTCGTCTTGTAATAAAAGATTTCAGAGAGAAAGCAGCATCATGTTTGAGTTTGCACAAGTTAGTTCATAATTGTTCTGTTTTTTGCTGAGGGCAACCTTGGTTGTTCAGGCATTTGAAAATGGCTCAAAAATTGTTGGCAAATAGAATTAACACTATTGTTTGGTATATGTTTGTAAATTATGTGCCAGTGGAGAGGTTACAGTTTGGAACGTGTTCAAGAGTTTGCTTGCAGAAAGGGTTTTGGTGACAAGAGAAATGTCAAACCAGGTCAAGGGGAAAGGGGTGAGAGAGCTGTGCCTAAGTCAGAGATATGAAAGTGAGACAAGCAGAAATAGCTACTAAGTTACATGCATGATTGGACAAGTTCTTCTCCCTTCACATTTTTGTTTTGTTTATTACAGGCCTTTTTCCTGATGTAGGTGGAGGATATTTCTTGCCAAGACTATCAGGAAAGGTTGGCTACTACCTTGCACTAACAGGATTCCGGCTGAAAGGAAGAGATGTACTGAAAGCTGGCATTGCTACACATTTTGTTGAATCCGAGAAGGTAAGCTGCTAACCAGTGCTACCAAGAGTGCAGCCAACAACCATAATGACAAGTATGAATTGTGTAGCACACCAATATACTTTTACTAACGTGAGCATATGCAGGGGCACAATTATATTAGCTGGGTATGAACTGTGAACGGGGATCATAAAATACTCTCAATCTGTCATTATAACACTTGCCAGCTAGTGACAGCTTTGCTTGGAAGAGGGAGCAAATGTTTCTGTCTTCATGATTCTTCTGTTGAAGGGCATGATTTACTGGCATGATTTACTGAGCATAACTGAGGGTGCTTGGAAATTGTACAATTTAGACAACAGTGCCTGAAAGTAGAGATTATTTATACAACCATAAAGTGTTTAATCTAGGTAACACCTATTATGTGGTCATAATTAGTCTCCTTAACAGGTATCCTATTTGTTCTTACAGTGGTTGTAACAAATTACAGAAATTAGTATATTTGATAGTCAGAGTCATAATGTAATTTGCAAGGACATAAGTGAAGGAGAAACAATGACTTGCTTTCCTTCTCTGTGTAAACTCTCAGGGCTGTCATTGTGCAGCTGGCTAGGTACTATTTTGAGCATAGCATGGTTGCCAGGCTCTTTCTCTTCCCTCTCAGACTGTTGTAGGCTGGCTTTACCTGCTGCAGCTGCAGCACTGCATTGGGACTCTGCTTTAGAAGCAGAGTTCTTTGCTGATCACCACAGACATCATTAAATCCATATGGTTCAATAGTGAAAAGTAAAATCTGGCTGCTTGTATTGTTTAGTTGGTACTTCTTCGAGATGTCTGTCGAAGTTGGGGGGGGGGTTGAAGGTGTGTTTATGTCCATATATGCTATATAGTACTATTACCAGGGCACTAATACTCTAAGTAGTACATTTTAGTTTTCATTAAATCTTCTTTTTAATAGCTACCTGCCTTAGAGAAAGACCTGATAGCCCTGAAATCTTCTTCAACAGAAAATATTGAAGACTTACTGAACTCTTACCACATGAAGGTAAATCTGATCAGTTACCAAAAATCAAGTAGAATTGTTAAATACATGTAAATAGGAATTCTTTTTTATCTGTGATCATTTGTTTTATGGTTAAAAAATGAGTTTACAAACTCTTCTCACTATAAAATACCAATTTGTAGCCCTAATGCCAACAGTAGTCAAAATTAAAATTTAGAAGTTCTTCACATTTTATTCATTTTGGATGCTTCTCAAATACCTACTGTGATCATTTCACTCTCTTTTATGAGTGTAAGGAATTTTCCATCCAGGAGCATGATGATTCAGAAAATGTATTGCTGCTTCATTTCCACCCCCCTTCTTTATCCTTAGATTTCTAGTGTGCTGTGCAGAAGGCAGAATAGATAGACACTGGTAGACTGGGAGTTGTTCACCATAGCAAGTGCAGTCTGGGGAGCTGGCCTAAAATTCAGAGATTCTGCAAACACAAATGACAGGAGTGGAACTACTGGCCTAATCCAAAGGCTGCAGAAGTTATAATGCCAGTCATTAAATGCTACACTGCTCACTTGGAAGTGGTGTTATATTTCCATCCCAGAAACTTTCTTTTTATAAACCTGAAGAAATGATTTTCTAGCTTGATGCAGTTGACAAATTTTAGCATTATTTTGATGCAGACCATCTGCAGTCCAGATTTGAAGCCTGAATTTAAAGACTCAAGTTGTTCTTTTAGTTTCTCAAATATTTTATATGTTTGTAAACTTGAGATAATGGAAAGACTGAATAAGCACAGGAGTTATCAATAGGATAAGTATTAAAAGAGTGCAGAAATATTGTAGGGAAAGCATCTGAAGTCTTAAAGCAGTATTTCCAATGGGAGAAAGGTCCTGTTTTCCCAGTGGACAAACCCATAGTTCTCTGATTTTGCAAGTGAATGTAACTGTATTGATAATACATAATTAACGTTAGTATAAGGTCCATGTAATGATGGGCATGAAAAGGGTTTCTCTTTACAATAAGTTTATTCAATGGCTATTTAGTTAATTTAGTTGAGATGTGTGATGTAATTTTATTTCAAAGGAAAGGAAACTTCTGGAATCAAATCAGGATTCAATGTATTCAGTCAAACTGAGTATTACTCACTAGTTGTTTAGCTCTGAAGTGAGTGATGCCTACTCTTGTTATTTCTGTTTTGGCATTACTAAGTTAATATGCTAAGATTAATTAGAAAAATAAATGGGATAATCAGTACTACTATGGGTATTAGCTTATTCAAAATAGAAACCTGTGAAGTAAGAGTGATTATATGTTACAGTATACTACTTTACAAAATGACACTGAATGGAAAAGGAAGCAGTGTATTTTTAGTTATCAGAGCTGAAGTGACAGGGAACCTTTCTCAGTTTCAGCTGTTGTTACTGAAAAAATCTGCTTATGTCCTACATCCCTTAATGCCAAAAGATATGAAACATTTGACAGCCTTCCCACATGAGGCGAACAGATCTATTACACTCTATTTGTCTAACTAAAATTTTGTAGAACTACTGAGAAAAGATAAGGAAGAGAAATGCAGGTTGTGTTGTTTTGCTTGTGGTGGTTTTGTTTGGTTGTTTTTTTAAATACATACATGCATGCTTGTATATTTTTAATAATAATATTTAAAACCCCTCATTTTTTTAGTAGGTGTTTCTACACTAGCTTTCTTAGTGTATTTGATAGAAATGTATTGATAGAATAAACATGATTACTTGTGTTTGAGATAACCACCCGAATACACATACATAGGAGCTCAGACCAAGCGCTGCATTGTGGTGACATCTTTAACATTTACGAGATAAGTAATAAGTTCATTTCTACACACTATGAAATTGTAATTCATTAAAAATGTCAGTGTTATGAATATTAAATGTTCATTTATCATGATATATTTGTAACACAAGTGATTGAAATTTTTCAGTACTGATTAGCTTTTGGTCTAAAATAACAGAGTAAAATATGTATTTGCTTTTTCAATAGAGCAAAGCTGATGAAGAAAAGGATTTTGTACTTGATGAGCATATGGAGAAGATTAACAGGTATTCAGCAATCTTTGTTCTCTTTCACCTTTTGGATAGAGAGCATGAAGTTAAACCCACTAACAGCATCAGTGTTCCACAGATAAGGTGACAGAAATTGCATTCAAGTTAGTAATTTAAAATTTTTTGTCTTTAGAGAACTTTATCTGAATCTCATAAAATATTTCACTCAGCAGTATACTAAATACTCAAGCATATTTGCTTGATTCATACACCATTATATTAAGCAACTGCCCTGATGCACTTCAAAAGGAACATTTTTCTATAGAAATTGGATGGGCATTTAAGAGAATAATTGTTTAGTTGGACAGGGAATTATATGTAGTACATTCATACTCATTGATATAATGTCATTTCTGTGATTGTTTGGAACTTCTGTGTTCTCAGAAAGGGAAGGAGAAATGTGTCATAAGAAGCAACTAAAACTCTTGAAGTATGGCAGCATAGAGACAAAATATGTTGATACCAAACCAGTAGAATGGAGCTGATAGCTAAACATTTGATGTGTTACAAAAATACAGATAAGACTGATGGCAGTAACTGAAGTTTCTGGATAAATAGAGTTTGTAAGTGAGGCTTATTGAAATGCTAGAGGTTTGTAAAGGAAGAGTTAAGTAAAACTGAACAGCAGGGAGCACATCGCTAAGAAAAGCCAAGTAAGCTTGTTACTCTCTGTTCCTAAGTTCTGTGTTACTAGCACTTCACAGGGAAGAGGAAGGTTGAAGCAGTTCACTCATTAACTTTTTGTTTCAGTCTTTTTTCAGGAAACAGCATGGAAGAAATTGTTAAAAATTTAAAGCAGGATGGTTCTGCTTTTGCCATTAAGCAGCTAGAGGTAACATCTATACTATTTTTGTTAGAGGTTTTAAGTGTGGTTTTGTACTGTTTTTTTCCACAGGGCTGACTTTAGTCACTTTAGTAACATAGCTAATACTACATAACATCTATATAGGCCATTGGACTGAGATCCTCAGGTTCTCACACGTGACTGTGGGCCTGTCAGTAGTTCTACTCAGACAAGAATATTCCTCTGTAGAATGTGAATACCATCATATGTTGCATAAAATTGTCATCTAGAAAAAAAACTCAAACTCACTCCCCCTTCCTTTTCCCCTTTCCACGATCAGGGAGCTATTGGTGACTAAGGTTCCTTTTATAGCTTCTCGTTTTATTGCCAAGGTTTGGAATAAAACAGTGCCAGAACAATGTTGTTCTTTTTCTTCCATTCCAGATACTTCATTTTGGTAAACAGCAAGCCTCAAAAATCAAGAAGCAGCTTTTATTCATTTATAAGTAATGTTTGTATTTTCTCGTTTTCCCTTGACGTATCCATATTCAAGTGCCTTGCAAAAGTTTTCCTTGGGACTAATCAAATATTACTTACAATTGGATAGAATACAAACATTTCTCTAACAAACGCTTTGTCTTAGCTTTAGTTCCAGCTTACAGAAGAAATCCTACTCTTGTAATGAAACAACACCCATCATCTCTGGACTTTCATTTGAGCAGTGGAATACAATTTGATAGTGTATTGTCATTGACATCAAGCATCCTGTCCCATGGTTAGTTGAAGATAGCTTTTCCTAAGTTAATTTCATAGAATTTTGTGGCACTTCAAAACATAATCAGACCTAGAGGAATATAGCCTTTAAAAGGTGTTTTGTTCAAAAGACAATTTCTATTACAAAACATGCAAGGAGTCTGAAAACACTTTGTTACTGAAATGTGTTAACTAGCTAGTTTGTTCTGCCACATTTGCTCTGGTTATCCAGACTGGCTTGACTCATTCCCTTCATCTGCAGCCCTGTTACTCAGATTTCCCCTGTTAAAAAGATGGCTTTGTTCCCGGTTGTTTAGAAGTGTATATTTGTTTCATATTTTTAATCTAGAACTTAAAACCATGTCACCTACTTCAAGGGTATGATTGTGTATTTTTTTTTTACTTTAAACAAACAAAAAAAGCTCTTTTGTTGCTTCTTGGTTTATTTCATGTCTTTAATAGTACTTCATAGCAGCTTTTTTCTTTCAGATGATTCAAAAATGAATGACTGTCCTTGGAGTTCCTGAACAATTGTCTGTTGCCTGTTCTGTTCAAGAAATGAGACTGTTAATAAGAATTGGTTCTGTCTATACATAAATTGGGGAGGGAGACCCTAAACCCCACATTTTCTATCAGGTTCAAGGCTTATTTGTGTGAACAAGTACATAAGTTTCAGACAAGTTTCTAACAGCAAACATTCTGTGCTAAGCAGTAGGATTAAGTAAGATTGTAGGATCAGATAACTTAATTTCTTCTGTGAAAGATCCACAAAACCAGAGAAGGAAAATGCATTTGTGGGTGAAAAAAAGTTTAAAAGGGATTCAAGTATAAATCTGGCTTTCTCCAGGAAATGTTTGCCAGTTAAACTGGAGATTGTGTTTTACTAGGGAGGCAGAACTGTAATTAAACTTAATTGTAGCTGAATAAAGAATAGTAGCTTGTACCCTGGCACTTGAGCTTTTACACCTGCAAACAGAGCACTGTCACATTGCTCAGAGGAGCAGAGTTCAAAGAAGTGGTTAGAGCAGGGAACACATAGCAAAACCATGACAGTCAGATTATCGGACATTATCTGTGGTAGCAGTTTGCTGACTTGTGTGAAGCAAGTAATTTTCCTCATTAGGAGTAACAGTACCAAGAGTATTTCCATGGATAGTAGTTTCCCTTATGTGACTTTATGAAACCAAGATCTCATGTTAGTGTCTGGGTACAGGAACAACAGCACATTCAAATAATAAATACATAGACTGCAAAAGATTGGATAACAGCAATGTGTATGCTTATTTTCTTTATTTCCATGTATACTTTGTATGATATATATTAGTAAGCTTATGGAATAAGCCCTAATTGAAAGTCTAATACTGCAGTCTAATTTGGAGGTACACCTTGGTACAGCCACACCTTGGAAGTACAGATACCTTTTAGAGTTAACAAAATGGAACTGCTAAATTCTGCTATAATCCAAGGATGCTGTGGGCTCTTCTGTCTCTGGTATCCTGTTCTGTTTGATCTACAGTACTCCTGCTTTTTTACTTTCAGAACATGTCTGCTTGGCAGGCCTTCGCATACCTGATACATAGTTTGCATTAATAGAAGACTGTAAAGGTGTTAAAATTCTACTTGAGAGTGGCTTTGTGACTTAGATCACATTTCAAGCCCAGTTACAAATAGGTAGAAATCTGGAATACTAACATACTTTCTGAACTCTTACTACTAACATATTTTAAAAATTGTTTACTTTATAACATTACTTTGTTTTTAGGATTTATATGAGCAAAATAGCTTTGATCTGACAGAAATATCACTTCTAGTTGGATGAAGTAAGCATGTGGGGTCAAAACCTGAAAAGCGTCAGTTGTTTAACTTTGTTTTTTACATGATGCTTTCTGAGAACTTTTTTGGCATGTCAGTACACCTTTTGAGCACTGATACTTCGTGAGTTTATAGCCTTAATTGTTACTGAATGAATTCCAGCATAGTGTGCAGTACTGAAAATTACAAGGTACCTTGTCCAGATCTGCTAGTCAGGTTGGGATGCAGACACTAGCTCCTGAAATTTTAAATGGGGATGCAGCAGCGGGTGAGAGAGATTACAGGTATGAAGCAGGATGCATTGTACTCAAGTACATTGTACTCAAGTACATTGTACTCCTTGTGGCATTGAACTCAAGTAAAAAAGGATTCTAAAACTCTTTAAAAGACAGTAAGTGTGATATATCTGTCTTTAAGCAGCTTTGCTGTGGTACTTTGGCTAGACTCTCATTTTATGTCAAAACTCATCCAGAACGGTTGTTCATTGTTCAAACAAATGGTTTATTATCTCAGAAAGTGATGGGTGTCTTCATCTATTGCAAGTGAAGTGATACACTGGACCTCTGGCAGGGCTTTGTTTTGCTAATTGCTCTTTAAGTTAAAGAAAGCTTCCCTCAAGAGCCCTCAGCAGCTCAAATCAGAAACTTCAATGGGCCTTGGAGACAAAAGATGTACCCACTGTACACTGTACACTGTGACAACTGTACCCCAGCTGTTGATGCTTGTAAGGGACTCCATTGAGTCAGTGCCACTTAACTCAGTCACCTTCTAATAGTATCTTAGTGGAATTCAGGTGTATTGCAAAATCAGCTTGTAGACTTCAGGATCATTATGTTGAAATCAGTATGGTCTCAAAATACTGGAATAGATGTCAAATACTTCTATGAAGACTTATTTGCATTTTAGTACTCCCTACTTCAGCCTATTCTGTCTCCTTTCAGGCTTGTTCCCTAGCACCAATGCCCTCCTCTTTGTACAGAGAATTTATTTATAGATACACCGGTGACTCATTTTTCTGCAATTACACCTACCCATTTTCTTCCCTTGTTTCCTCTTCCTTCAGCTTGATTTATGGCAATGCCTCCTCCACCTTAAACCTCATTGATATGCCAAGATAAGGCAGCTGCTGCATACACTAGGCTAGCTAGGTGTGCATTTCATAACTTCCCCATTTTAATGCTTTCTAACCAGAAAGAACTCACCATTATGATTTCACCTGTGGAACAATCTGGTTGCACTGTGCATACTATTTCACCTGGTCTGAGTAAAAACTTTCTAATTTAGTTGATAGAATGTGAAACTCAAAGCAGAAAAGGTCGAGTTCAAAGGTAAATCCAGAAAGTGTATTACAGGACATAAGGGGTATGGGTAAGAGTTGCTATCCATAGGAGACCTGCATGGTGATGTAATTAGAGGTGTAGCTAATTTCTTTGTCTGCTGAAAGGCAGCTCATTGTTAGAGAGCTTTACCAGAACTCAGGAAATGTTTACAGTTTGAGCCAGCATTCCTTCTTTCGAAACGTGCAGGTAACAGAATGACAGTGCTTTTAAGGTACACAATTGCACAGCCTCCTGCTTGTATAGCAATTGTGTGTCTTCCAGCTTAACCAGGCAAAATGGGTCACTGCTGTATTAGCTGGTGTCTGGAAAAGGATGAAGAGTAATTGGGAGCCAGAAAAAATGTTAATGTTGATGTCTGGAAATCTGCCATTTCAGTCTCTGGGTAAGGACTCTAATGTCTGCAATGAAAATTAATGTAAAGAGGCAAATTTTACCATCTGCTACTTTTCAGTAGGGGTAAAAATGTCCTAATTTATAGTCTATTGTACTGTGAATAATAGAGAGCTTGTAGTTGGATTTACAGGGAAAGAGTCTTGTTTGAAGTAAGAAAACAAAGATGGACAACAGTAAGATAAAGCTATTTTTCCCCACGACCCTGAAAGCTTTAAAGCTCATTTCTATTTTCTTAACCAGGTTTTTGTCTCTCTCCCCACTTCCCCCTACTGTTTATTGGCATGCTGTTAATTGAAGGATAGTCATGAAAGCCAGAATTACAGCATTTGTTTATGTGCCTTAAACAGATCTTGTCCGTGGCATAATATTTATAGCCTGTAACTGTTGAAAGAAGGAAAGCAAGACCTCCAGACTTCCTATCAGAAGAGCAATGTAGGACTAAATTACTGCAGCATCTGTTGATCCCAGACAAAAAGCTTAGATAAATACGCATTTATGTGTCATTTCTTTTTAATATTTTTCTTCCAGTTTTCTTCATATGTTGTCTAGTCTCTGCAGATGATCCTAAAGCAACCACCTTAAGTTTGTTGCTAATCTCGCTATTATTACCTTACTACCCTATTGTACCAAATAAAACTTAAATTCTGTACAATATCAGCTACAACTTCAGTAATTTGTAAGAGCACTTAAGACTGTATGTATATGATACTAGAAAATGGAGTAACATTGCTTGTCCCACACCTTCACTTCTGAAACAAGGAGGCACAAAAGTACAAAATGTAATCAGTGCTAAGTAATGTTAAGTTTGATGGCTTTGTAATGGAAAATAACTGCCGTGTTTGAAGGTAGTTGACATAGTTTCAGGCCCTCAGGACCTCAGTACAAAAGGTGTGAGAAAAGCAGAATAGGACAGGACCTGGGGATGGGGAGTATCTGGGACTAGCAGATGTCCAGGGTGGGCACAGATGAACTAACTGATGAGTAAAAGGACAGGATGATTGCTATATTTGAGGTGTTAATAAACCCATTAAGCTAGTGTAAGCATCTACTAGGGAGTATCCCAGACTAGCAGATGTCCAGGATGAGAGCAGTTAAACTAACTGATAAGTAGAAGGCCAGGATGATTGCTATGTCTGTAATGTTAATTAAGCTTGTTGGGAAAAGTAAACGACCCTTAAAGACCACCACATTTTTGTATGCATGCCGGAAACTGTTTGGAAAATGATGTAATATGCTCAGTGACCATATAAGGATGACCTGTACAGCAGTTCGGGGACACACGTTAGGAGGAGCTATGGCCCGTGTCTCCCGGCGCCGCAATAAAGAATACTTGCTTGTCAACTTGAAACTCTGCTGGCAAGTTTGTTCCTGGAGTTTTCTCCGAATCACTTCTCAAAAGAATCTGTTTGGAAATGGCTTTCAAGCTGCATAAGATTCCTGAGCTAGTAGTAATTTGGTCATAAATGATATGATCTTAGGAGTTCTAAGCTTTCCACAAGTAGTGGCAAACATCCCAGGGATCTTTCCAATAAAAGTTTATGCAAGTAAGTCCTTTTAGTTTGACAGCATGGTGGGAGGGAGCGGGAGGAATAGGTATAACATAAGTGAGTTCAGTGCCATCATTTACTTCACAGTTTAAAATGCAACGACAGACTTGCAAATGTGTCTGAGTTGAAGAGAATAAAAGTAATTGTTGTTGTCTTCCCCAGACTATTAGTAAGATGTCACCTACATCCTTAAAGCTGACTCTCAGGCAGCTCAGAGAAGGCGCTTCCATGAGCTTACAAGATGTACTCACGATGGAATACAGACTGAGCCAAGCATGCATGGTAAGCAAGCAGCTGAGCCCATTGTCTCTTCCCAGCAATGGAGGGGTAGCACATTTATCAGAGACTAAGTTATATACAGATTACATCACGGACTCACAATTTATAGGTTTTAATTCTCAGTATCGTTTGTGTATTTGTTAAATTGTTTTTTCCAGTTACATCTCTTTATATGAAGCTTGAAGGGGACTACATTAACGGGAATGGTAAAGGGCTTTTGTTAAGAAAACTATGGTAGTGCTGTAATATAGGGAGTTCTGTATTTGGACTGTAATTTTAAACCCTTGGTGTTCTCAGATTTCCTATTTAAATTACTTAGTCCTCAATTCCCATTAGCAGGATGGGAATAGTTGTATATCACTGCCTTTCAGGAGTGCTGTGACAAGTTTATTAAAGAAAACAGATTTTAGTACTATTTGTAGTAAGGCCTGAGTACTTGTGTAACATATAAGGAAATGATCCTTTCAGTAGAACATAGTTGCTAAATAAATTATCTGAACAAACTCCTCATAAAGCTTCCCCATGGCACCCTTAATACTAGTTTTATGACATTTTAAGGTAAGATTTTTATGTATTTGACTATTTGTGATAATGTAAATACTTGGAAAATGGGAAAATATATCTGTTTCTGGTATGTTGTAATGTCTGCCAGTATCCTTGCCATAGCTTTCCTGAAACTAGTATTGTTGCTCCATTGCTAGTGAAGCATACTTAAGGATTTAAATGTTACATTTACCTTTATAAAAAATCCCTGAATGTTTCCAGGGTTCTATTTAACTGCATAGTGTTCAGTTGCGCAGAATACTTCACAATCCCTGATGACTGTCCTCTCTCTGATAAATTTCTGATCCTGCATACCTCAGTTCCCATCATGCAGAACTCTTTAGAAAAATCTGACATGTAACAGAGAGACATTGCATAACAGTTGACTGATAATCGAAGTTCAACAGACTGATTTTGAGAGTTGTGGCTGCATTTAAGCAGGAGGTCATAGAGCTCTAATAGGTAAGGAGCAGGTAGGATGATATGAGAACAGTACAAGTCAGATTTAACTGAATCTTGAGAACTTGCATTTCAGGCAGAGGTGGGATAGGGAAATATGTGCTAAATAGAATCTGTCATGTTACAGCTTTTTTTCCTTTTAATCTTTCAGAGAGGCCCTGACTTCTATGAAGGGGTTCGAGCAGGTAAGCATGCACACCAGAAATGTTTCTCAGACTTAATAATATGCAAACTCACTGTTGTGTTGCTTCTGTGGAGGTTAAGAAAAGTGCATCCTGCAACAGCCCAGAGAAAACTTCCAAACTTGCTCCAGTTTTTACTTAATTGGACTCCTGTATGGGCAAAAACTTGTTATTTTTCCCAGAGTGTAACAGCCATGTTTCCTTTGTGTAATCTCAGTTACATTTCTAATGTTATTTATTCACCTTCTAATGCAGCACCGTGAAAAGGTTTCACCAATTCATTGGGAAATGTCAAATATATTTAATGCTAGCAGTAGTGATACCCATAGCTACGGGTATCACTTGTGTGTCCAGATTTAGTGTTGCCACATAGCTGGTTCAGCCTGCTATAAGATGGTGTAAGACTTGAAGAACATGGAAATTTGTTAGAACAGAGTCTACTCCTATGTCCAAGGTATATCTATATAGAGGTGTCTTTCTATCAAGGTATATACACGTAAACTTTAATATTTCAGCATTTTAAAGCATTGGTCAAGGTAGGTAAGGGTACAAGTAGAGCAGCAGCTCAGGAAGTTCACCTAGGGGAGAGACTTAGATTTTGTCCTTGATTCTACTGCTGATTCACTATGCAGTTTGTCAAACCCAATGTCACATCTGTTAGAAACTATCGTAATTATTTATGTACTGTACAGCAGGAGGTGAAACAATACACAAATACTTCCTTTTCCTAGGAGCTTACAGTACAAGATGTTTGGATGAGTAACACTTTGGGGTTGAGGGAATCTGACTTTGAATTCAAACTCAAGTATATATTATTACCTCCTTCTCATTTTTTAATATGTGTCTTGATAAAGTAGTTTAAAATACGTGTGAGTAATAGATATTAGTTTGAGTGTTCACTATTAGTAATACTGTATTAAAGCCTGTGGTGAGAGATGCAAAATTTGTTTGTAGAGCATGGAAAAGGTTTCTGATTTTAATCTTTAGTTCTTACTGGCAGAGAATGCTTTGAAGAATTTACCCCATTGCATGATAAATTCTGTTGAATTCTGTTCTTATCAAATACTTTTGAGAAGTACATGGTTTTCATTGTGTTGATAATGGGGGCAAGGATATTTTACAAAGATTATTCCTAGGATAATATTCTAAATCACCATATAAACTTTTGAAATGACAAAGTCTGAGAGTCAGATGAACACCAAACCAAATTGTCACTTGTAATGCCTAAGGTCATTAAACCATATGGTGATGAAGTAGAGGACAAAAGCAAATCACTTGTCAGTATGTCCAGTAAATTACACAAACTGCTCATAAAGAAAGAAACTGCAAGAACAGCAGTTGGGAAAGATTCTCTTTTACACAGGATGACGTAGCAAAGGATCAACTATATCAGGAAAAAAAACCCAACCCACCAATATTCTGAACATAATTTTTAATAGGAAGTAAGATTGTTAAGACTTTACTGGATCAACCAGTGAAAAAGAAAAAAAAAAGAAAATAATAAATACTAGCTTTTTATTTATTAAAGCATAATTTATCAAGCATTTAAGAGCAAGCTTTTGACCCTGTCCACAGAGGATCTAGCACAAAGTAAAGTTAAGATGTAATAATCAGATTTTAGTTTTCAAAGGTTGTTTTTCAGCAGCCATAGGTCAGGTTCTAATAACAGCTTTTATTTGCTTCAAACTGTAATTTTAATAGGCATGCTAGGGAAATAGTTTGTTGAAAAGCTTTTTAAACCTATTTTGACCTGAGGTCAGAATTTCATTGTTCTTTCAGCCAGACTGAAGATAGGCTGGCAAGCAGTATTCCTCTCTGATACCTGTGATTTGGGCTACTAAAGAAAAGCCAAACCTTCTAAAGCATAAACTATACAGATCATATTTCAGCAACATTTTTCCATATAATGCTAAATGTGGTCTTTGGACACTTTAGGTATCAATGTTTTGCTTTGATTTATAGGATAATACATAAATTAAGAAATGCATAGCTCTGCACAATTTCCAAGAACGTTGGGTTTTCTATTCTTGCTGCATAAGCAAAGCAGTCATTTTTTAGTGTCAGTGCTCAAACACATCCAGGTGGACTACAATCTCAGCAGCCTGAGGGGACAAAAATCTGCTAAATTAGCCTATTTGTGCAGGAATGTACAGTTCAAATGGAATTGTAAAGGCCTTCTACATATTGCTGATCCTGCAAAGATGTTATTTCTGTATGGCTTCTGCCCTCTCTTCTGCAGTGCTAGCAGCTGGCAGATGTGAGCCTAACCCTGGACACACAAACCTGCTGCAGTCAGTGAGTAGGTAGAGATTACATTGCAACTAGCAGAATTTTAGGTGCTTAGAAATATCAGCGTTGTGACTGTTCTTAGCCTGCCTTAGAAGTCTTCAGAATTTTGGTTCTGTTCTTGTAGTGATCGATCTCAAGCTGGAGAAACACAGCATATACAGATGTTAATACAGCAAGGAAGTATTTTCAAGATACTAGTAGAAAACAAATATTTTAACTCATATAATATTAAAGACTCCATTGGAGAGAACATAGTAAGCATTCACTTATCCACCAAACTGGCCACAGATCCAAACAGAAAGGTTGAGTACACAGTAGTGCTATAGAATGAAGAATTATCAACGATTCCTACTGTATTTCAGAGTTGAAGCTGTAGCAGTATACACATGGACTTTTTTTTTCCTTCTAAAGCATCTCTAGTCAGTGTGGACTTTTGTGGCTGACCACTGAGATTATTTTAGCCAGATTGTAAACTTCAACTGAAGTTGAATAAAATCATTAGATAAGTCATATTCCAGTGGAATAAATATACTTGATTCAGGACAGTTACATATTTTGACCCAAAACAATCAGTGGCTTCACATCACAGTGTTTAATTTGTAAGATCATAACTTTTCACCAAGTTATCCAGGTGAGTGACCTAGTAAAATCACTCTTTTACAGCACATTTTTTTTAAATTGCCCACATGGATTCTACTTCCTGTAGAAGTACAGCTTTGATCTATATAGGGGTTTTCTTTCAAAAATTATTTTTTATTTGTATCGAAGGAGTCCTTAGACCTCTGTTTGCAGTTAAATGAATGCAGGGCTCTGATTCTCTTTTTACTTTGGAGGTGCATGATAAAGGCTTGTGATGCCTGTTTGTCTTCAGCTATATTCAGAAATATTAATTAATGCAGCTGTTATTTGAATGGTATTTATTTTCTAGGCACTTTCCAAGTGTTGGTTATAGAGGGAAAAGTTAAAAAGACATTTTGAAATCGCTTGGGTTTTTTACCACAAACAGCCATAATGCCTGTCTTCCGATATGACACAATCGTTAGGTAGGCATTCAATTAAATCCAACTCCTTTGTATACTTCACATCCTAGATGTTTTTAGTTTAGTCACCAAGCACAAAATCTGTTTAGAAAGACATGACAATTTACCAAAACCACCGGCTGTTATTCTTCAAAATATCTAGGATCTGTAAGTATCTTCTGTCTTCATACCTTTAAAGCCATCCTACTCTTCATCAGAAAAATCAACCAACCAGCCAGACCCCCCTGTTCTCAGCACATTAAGTACTGAGAGGTGTTTCCTGCCCATCCTCCCTTGTATGATGTGGGTGGTGTTGGTCAGGAGGTCTCCCAGGACACGCACAACCCCATCTCCAAATCAGTTGCTGATACCACACATCTGAAGAGAATGTTTGTTGAGGGGGGATGTTGGGTGCATCCTAGAAAGCCATAGTTACTATGGCTGTTCATTTTAAATTATAAAAAAATCACATTTTTGAATAGCACCTCTATGGGTTTTCTTGGAGCCAAAAAGGTGCTTGGAAGGATGCTCTGGAATTCCATTCATACTGATAATTTTTATACACAAATAAATTCTCTCTTGTCTTACGCTGTTTACTAATGCAGCTGTTCTTGCTGACATGCCTTCAACATTCCTGCAGTACAAGGGATGCTTTTTATATTTTCTTGCTATACATGAAATTCATTAACTGATGATTTTTTCTTCACTAATGTACTAGTACATATGTAAAGTACACATACTAAGCTTATACAAATCTCCATAGTTAAATTTACATAGGTCTGCAGTATCTGTCAGTACTTACAAATAAATATTCTTGTATTTGCCCACAAAGATACTCTGCTTTACTCTTTCCTCATTAGTTATTTCATAATTAGTTTATATGATGTGTTTAAATTAGCTTTAGGCATTAAACACGTCCTTTGAGTCATCTCCTATATCCTACAATCAGATTTTGCAGAGAGGTGAAAGCCCTTATCCAAAATGAGAATCATGCATACTGTTTCCAGTTTCACATGAAAAAGCGTAAGTCAGGCAGGAGTAGTAGGTCTAACAGAAAGCACTAATTTGAGGTCTATCAAAGCTTGGGCTACTTCTGAAGTTACCCACTGTTCCTTGTATCATCAGGCAACTCCCAGATACGTCTCCAGGCAGATCACAACTCAAGACTTTTTAAGTAGAAATATGTATGTTACAAAAAAATCTGTCTTCTTGAGAACATACTGATTTTTCTTCCCTGTGTATTCATTGTAGTTATCTGTCTGGATTCAATCTAAAGTCATCTTAATTAGAGAAAGCTTACAAGTAACTTTTGTGTTTCTGTACACCTGACAGTGCTGATTGACAGAGACCAGTCCCCCAGATGGAAGCCAGCTGCTCTAGAAGAAGTCAGTGATGAGTTTGTGGATGATTGTTTTAAGCCGTTGGGAAGCAATGATCTCAAGCTATAAAGATCAAGCCTATTGACTTAACATCTGCTTAAGTCTATGATATAAAAAAATAATAGTAGTGTGATAAAGTTTGGTAAGACTCAGCTAGCCTGAGATTCGTAAGTAATTTGTTGCATTCAGGAACATTCTCTTTTGTTATGCTGCCATAATGGCAAATAATCTCTGGTTAATAAAGGGAAAAGGCAAATTGTTATTTTTACTGCTTTATGTAATGATTAACATTTAATTTTTTGCATCAACTCTTAGTTTAGGAGGAATCTTTGGGGACAGAGCAGACGTAAGGGATGACCCTAACAAGCAAGAAGTTAGGAGACCTTTTGTGTTCTTGGCTCTGTCACGGATCTGTTAAGTTTGGGTTGTGCCCCAGCTTATTATTTATACAATGAAAATAAAATACATGTAAAGCTTTAAAACAGAGCTACAAAGGAAAATGCAGGACATGAGAAGTTCATGGTATTAAGTAGCCTTTTAAATAGAGGGTCAGACTGACACGTTATTAGTCTGAGAGAAATTGTTCTATTGATTTAACATTTGGTCAGTATTCAGTTTTGCTGTGTGATGTAGACATTGTTTCAAAGGTCAGAGCCTAGAGCACACTTCTGTTTGTTATAAGAAAGACCTTTAAAAAAAGATATTGAGTTGAACTGCACAATTAGTTTTTCATGATTTAAAAAATAGCTAGTTTTTCCTGGTCTTACAAGGGTGAAGAAATAACTGTCTCAGACCTTCCTCTGAACACTAAGCATTGATGTTAGTGATTGTTGAATGATTTTAGTGGTAGAGATCAGCCCAGCCCTAACACTGCAAGTGCCTGGAGTTTTTACCACTAGTCTGGGTTCCCATTTGCTTGTGCCCATGGACATCCAATCTGCTGGGTGGAAAACCTGTGAAAAATAAAGGGAATGCAGCAATATGTACTGAAGATCACGAACGGGAAAATACGAAATATCTGCTGTACATGGATTGTATAGATCTTTTAAGACAACATATCCTAATGAATGTATTTGTTGGGATCAAAATTTAAATATGCGTCAAAAACAGATTAGGATTGTTGTGTGTGCCTTAAAAGTTGCTTGGTTCTGATACTAATAATACTTAGTTATATGACATAATCAGAGCTCCTTGATAAAAGTATAATCTTTTGCAGGAGTAATATTAATTTTTTTGTAGTGTTTGCAACAACACATAACTATTAGTCTTTCTTCAACATTAAGACTGCATTAATCAAATCATGTATCAGTATCTTTTCCTACTTGTTTCTACAGTTACAGGCAGGTCACAAAACCAAATTTTGGCTTCTGTGAAGGTGAACCACTGAGACTAAAGGAAGAAAACTTCTGTCCCTGTAACAGTAACAGAAAAATTCTGTCCGTAATCAGCACTGGAGAATCAAGAGGTCAGAGCTCCAGCCCTACTGTTACAGAGTTTTCAACATTGGGCAGAGTTTATTATTGACAGTATGGGTATACAATGGCTTAAGGCTCCTTCCTTCCTAGAAGCTGTTGCGTAGAAACAAAACCCGGGAAATTCAGGCATCAGGGTGAACTACTAAAGTGACTTTCAAAGAACTAGAGGTGAGCAAAATGGAGAGCAAGATCATGAAAAAATGGCACCTTGATTTGTCACTAGATAAAACTGTCCAAATTTCACCTGCAACTTAATCTTACTATGTATGTATTGGTTATGAGACAGTCCTTGAGCTTAGTTTCAAAAGTAGTTAAGAGATTTCATTAATAATTTTAGGATAACTCTGAAAATAAGACTTGAATTTCTATCTCATTCTGACTTGTAAGAAATTTAAATCTTCCCTCCTTATTTTTTGAAAATTTTGTATGCTTTAGATTCTTAAACAGTCATAGAATCATAGAATAGTTAGGGTTGGAAAGGACTTTAAGTTCATCTAGTTCCAACCCCCTGCTGTGGGCAGGGACACCTCCCACTAAACCATGTCACCCAAGGCTCTGTCCAACCTGGCCTTGAACACCACCAGGGATGGAACATTCACAACCTCCCTGGGCAACCCATTCCAGTGCCTCACCACCCTAACAGGAAAGAATTTCCTCCTTATATCCAATCTAAACTTCCCCTGTTTAAGTTTTAACCCGTTACCCCTTGTCCTGTCACTACAGTTCCTAATGAAGAGGCCCTCCCCATCATCCATATAAGGCCCCCTTCAGATACTGGAAGGCTGCTATGAGGTCTCCACACAGCCTTCTCTTCTCCAGGCTGAACAGCTCCAACTTTCTCAGCCTATCTTCTTACAGGAGGTGCTCCAGTCCCCTGATCATCCTTGTTGCCCTCCTCTGGATTTGTTCCAACAGTTCCATGTCCTTTTTATGTTGAGGACACCAGAACTGCACACAATACTCCAAGTGAGGTCTCACAAGAGCAGAGTAGAGGGGCAGGATCACCTCCTTCGACCTGCTGGTCATGCTCCTTTGGATGCAGCCCAGGATACGGTTGGCTTTCTGGGCTGTGAGCGCACACTGAAGCCGGCTCATGTTCATTTTCTCATCAACCAACACCCCCAAGTCCTTCTCTGCAGGGCTGCTCTGAATCTCTTCATTGCCCAACCTGTAGCTGTGCCTGGGATTACTCCGACCCAGGTGTAGGACCTTGTACTTGTCATGGTTAGACTTCAGAAGGTTGGCATCAGCCCACCTCACAAGTGTGTCAAGGTCCCTCTGGATGGCATTCCTTCCCTCCAGCGTATCAACCGAACCACAAAGCTTGGTGTCACCGGCAAACTTGCTGAGGGCGCACTCAATCCCACTGCCCATGTCAGCAACAAAGATGTTGAACAAGACCGGTCCCAACTCTGATCCCTGAGGGACACCACTTGTTACTGGTCTCCAGCTGGACATTGAGCCATTGACCACAACTCTGCGTGCAGCTATCCAGCCAGTTCTTTATTCACCAAGTGGTCCATCCATCAAATTGATGTCTTTCCAATTTTGAGACAAGGATGTTGTGTGGGACAGTGTTGAACGCTTTACACAAGTCCAGGCAGATGACATCAACTGCTCTACCCCTGTCCATCAGTTCTGTAGCCCCATCATAGAAGGCCACCAAATTGGTCAGGCAGGATTCCCCCTTAGTGAAGCCATGCTGGCTGTCACCAAGCACCTGGTTGATTTTCATGTGCCTTAGCATGCCTTCCAGGAGAATCTGCTCCAAGATTTTGCCAGGCACAGAGGTCAGACTGACTGGTCTGTAATTCCCCAGGTCATTCATTTTCCCCTTCTTGAAAATGGGGGTTATATTTCCCTTTTTCCAGTCATTGGGAACTTCACCTGACTGCCATGATTTTTCAAATATGATGGCTGTGGCTTAGCAACTTCATTTGCCAGCTCCTTCAGGACCCACAGATGGATTTCATCAGGTCCCACAGGCTTGTGCACGTTCAGATTTTTAAGATGGTCTTGAACCAGATCCTCTCCTACAGTGGGTGCAAGGTCTTCATTCTCACAGTCCCTGCATCTGCCTTCCAAGACTTGGGTGGTGTGGTCAGAGCCTTTGCCAGTGAAGACTGAGGCAAAGAAGTCATTCAGAACCTCAGCCTTCTCCAAATCCTGTGTAGCCAGTTCTCCCAATAGCTTCTGGAGGGGGCCTGCGTTGTCCCTAGTCTGTCTTTTATTCGCTGTGTACCTATAGAATCCCTTCCTGTTATCCTTAACATCCCTAGCCAAGTTTAATTCTAACTGGGCCTTGGCTTTCCTAACCTGGTGCCTAGCTTCCTGCACAACATCCCTGGTATTCTTTCTAGGCCACCTGTCCTTGCTTTCACTTTTTATAAGCCTCTTTTTTCCTTTGAATTTTCCTCAGCAGCTCCTTATCCATCCAAGGAGGTGGTTATTTTTATTTTAAATTTGTTCATTCCATTATTTTTGTACAAAATGAGCAATCTTCAGCAACTATTTAACAAAAAACATGGTGATTTTCAGGGAGTAGGGATCATGCCTTCTCTGACTGAAAAAGGACTTAAGGTGCTTTAGCAAGAGTATTCTGAATCAAACTTTCAGTTGCTTCCAAAATTTATGCAAACATAAATTATCCCAAACTCATGGTAGCAAGATCCTGTCCAATCTGTGCATTTCTATAAAATAAAAGTCATACAAACAGATGGTAAGTTCAATTTTATTTGGTCCACAAGAAAGTATTTTTCACAAAAGATACTGTAAAAAATAGATTGTACTGTGTTTTATTTGGGACTACTGATGTGTCTTACTCCAGAAATGTCAATTTTATGAAGTTGTGCTGTAGTTAATATGTTTTGAATTATTATAATATCAAGTCAGTCACATTGTATCCACTCAGACTACATTTATGTTTCCTGGAGAAAATATAAAGCAAGCGTATTTTTAACTCCTAAATATAAGTAAATGGTTTTGTGGAGTATGCCAGTCCCATACTGGAGTGCCTTTATTACACAAAATCAAGTCAAAGAATCAGTGGTAACTTAGCTGGAAAGCCACTGCAAGTGGCACACTTTAGAGTAATCTAATAAGAGATGTAATTTTATTTAGGTAAAGCCATCTTGATTTTTATTACACATTAGTATTGTGCCTATTAGAAATACAGCGTAATTCTGGACAGAAGTCTCCTTTCATTCCTCACCAGACTGTAGTATTGAACAGCTTTTATTTACGTTTTTATTTTATTAAGGGTACGTGCATTATTTATTAAGGACAGTGTCTTGTAAAAGAGATTATTTTCCTGGTGAGAAGTTGTCTCCCTGTTGTTTGTAAGCTTGTTTGCCTTCCATTTGCTCCATGCTTTCCCTGAAGTTCCAGTGTCCTAGGAAGCATCACAAAGCAGCTGAAATTGCACTTCAGGCTATATTGAAGCTGCTGTAATCTTCCAGCATTAATGAGAAAAGACAAGCTTTGTGGTTGCAGGTAGGTAACTAGTTGGACAGTGGGTGATCTACTTACTATCATGTTATGATGACTTTCTGAGGAAGCAGCAAAGGTGTCCCACACAGCAAATACTCCAAATGGAATCACACTGTGAAGCATGTTTAATTATACCTAGGTGACTTTGGGGAAATTTTGAGTATTTATCTGTATGGATGCCATGATATAACTTTAGACTATTATATCGTATAATTCTGCCTGCTGTTGGACCATGCAGTGGCAGCCTGCCAATGGAGAAGCTGCTTTCAAAAGCACATCTGATATTCTGACTCCCAGAAGAGTGTCAGATGCTAAGGTTACATCCAGAGAAAGGATTTGAGACATTGCAACACCTAACTCTCCCTGACAGCCACCAAGGTTACTTGTACAAGGGTCAAGACAGATCTACCTAAATGCACTCTTAAAGTGAGTGCAGTTTTCTATCTATCTGCTAGTCACATATCTATCTGGCAAATAATGTCTCTGGAGCTTTTGGGAGGGTTTCTTTTCCCCCTGCCTTGTTTTTGTGTTTTTTTTTGGGGGGGGGGGGGGTGGGGTGTTTGGCTTTTGTTTGATTTGGGGTGTCTTTGCTATTTTTTTCTTTAATTACTGTCTTTGACAGTGTTAATATCTTTGAGTAAAGACTAATGTTACAGAAAGGTTCACTTTTTTTGTAATAAAACTTTAGCTATAATATAAATAGGAATCCTTTTTAATGCTGTGGTTAAGCAATATCAAATTAATATATGTGCTGATCTGATATAGCGTGGACATTTCTTTAGACTGAGCAAATGTAGGGTATGGTCTAATGTTTTACATGCTTTAGAACTTCAAGGTACATCACTGTTGGTGGTAGAATTTAAGTGGGCCTTGGTCCCACTTTACATATGGCTTCAAAGATTCATCACTTCAAAGAAGAAAACAATGCAACATAAGCAGATTTTGTCCCCCTTCTTTTCAGCGAAAGCCTGAGAAGAGTCTTAACAGCACAGTCTAGTCTGGTCACTGTGAATTAATAGTCTTGTGCTGTGTTACAGAGAACCATTTTTCACCCTTTACTCTTGATAAAACCACTTTCCCATACAGGTGGATTTAAAGTAACTAAGTTTGTGTGGCAGAGTTTTCAAAACAGCTCAAATCATAGCTTATTCTCAGATTTAAGGCAGGCTACAAATAACAACTTACATGGTCCTCTTTCTGCTTGCTTCCTTCCGCTTGAAAAATCATGCTTTATATAATTTACTAGAACTACGTGTGTGTGTTTTAAAAATAGTATCAGTTTTTGCCAGTATGGAAAGCATTTTTCTGTAAAACAAAAACATCAAATGGAAAAATGTTTGATCTAGGAAAAAAACCAAACCTATGTCTTTTAAACTGGCCATAACAGAAAAAGGAACAAACCGGTGCTAAACCCCAAGCTTTTACAAGGCATTCACTTTGTATAAAATGTCCGCAAAACTGTAGCTTTAAGATGACAGTGATTAACACCTCCCTTTCTTCGTATCTCAAATGCTAGTTACTGTAGGTCAGGCTGCAAGTCCTGGAGAAGCAGGGTGCGGTGTGTGGAGGCAGGCTACATAAAACTGGTAAAGAATTGAGTCCCTTAAGCTTTTGGCCTAAGGCTTATTTGCAGATTCAGTGCACTGCTCAGGCTTTGGGTTTCTGTAGCTTGTATTTGCATCACCATATGCAGTTTTACCACTGGGTCAAGATGAGCCTACAGAAGCTGAAGGAAGGTCCTGTGGCGAGGGCATTACCTTTGTGTGAAATTTCAGTGTAAATCAGCCATAGGTCCCATGAAACATACAGTCCTAAAATACTGTCACACTGTTGAAGGTTTGTTTCACTAGTTTGCATCAGTAGTTTTTGCACACCTATGTGGGTTACAGTAAAAAACTAAAACCAATCCCCCCTAAAAAACAGCACCCGAACGTAAAAACCAAACCAAACCAAAAATCCAAACAGCTTGGTCTGAACACAGCGATCAGATGTCATTAAACTACCTTACTGTAGGATTTTAGAGAATAGCCTTCATGCATTTACAGAAGCCAGAGCATCTGTTAATTATAATGCACTGTTTGTCAACACAGTCCTGTTCCTCACTGTTTCACTTAAGAACAGAAGTTGATTAGTATCATAATCCATATGGGTCCCTGAATACTGCTGGGGTTTATAAAATGCTTCTCATCACCTTCATTATTTTGTGGTTTACAGATTCAGCCAGGTCAAAGAATCAAGGTAAAATTTATGACAGCAGTTACCTTTGCTACATGCAGACCTTGGTTTCACTTCAGCAAAATGCAGACAAATTTACCAAGCATGGAGAGTTCCCCTCTTTTCACCTACAACCAGGCCACTGATTTTTTTTTTTGCAGTAAATAAAAATAATCCACACTTTGTTGTTAAGCATCTCTGGGGCCTCTGAGGCAGTGCTTTTACAGTTGCAGGGCAGCCACATTCCTCTCATCCTTTTAACACTATTTCTGATCACATTTGATACATACAAAGACAGAACATACTCAACATACGTCTGATGACAAATGACACTTGCTTAATAGATTGTACTGTAATCCAATTAATTTCTTAGCAATATAGATGAAAAGGCCATTTTTTTTTTGCCTCTTCTTGCAAACACATTCATATAGTGGCATTATGCTCAAATCACAGCTGATTTTACTTTATTTGCACTAGTACCAAATACAAACTGCTTCACAGACAGGACACTCGTGGTGAAGACAGTTCTTGCCAGTCAGGGCTCAGGGCACATCACTTTCAATAAAAGGGATGTCGCTGTATTTGCTTTCAGTCACTGCCCACTGTTTTACCGCCTGATCAACGATCTCACGGGAGAGACGGTGTGCATAGTCTAGCACTATAGGGCTCGATGGACCTTTCTCATTCACCTTCACTGCTATCAGTGATGATTTCTCTCCAGTACATCCTTCATTACCTTCCCTGATCTGTTCATCCTGGATAGCATTTGAACCTTGAAAGGCAGCCTTGGATTTGATGCATCCCATGGTACATTTGGAAATGCAGCTCCAAAATTCAGTTCAACAGCATGTTTTGATAACCTGGAAAAGGTGCCCTTGTTCAGTGCACAGTGTGGCTGCTTCTTGCCAGTGGTTCCAGTTGTTTTCAAAGAGCAGAATGTCTTCTTTTGTGCTGCTTTGCTTCTGAAGAAATCTGTCAAAACAGTGTTTCATATAAGCACAAAAAATAGTCTAGCATTCCCAGTGAGCTCGGAGGAAAGATAAATTCAGTACAGATGCTTGTAGAAACAACTTTAATAAATGTTTGCATGGTGTGTGAAAAATGTTTTTATCAGTAACATACATCTACTAGAAACAGGCAAAGCTTGACCTGAATTCAGACTGCCGTTGCATGCAGATCCCAGTACATGATGTAAGCCATCTAGGAATGCAAAGGTCTTGGGGAAAACAGTAAGAATAATCATTTCTTTCCAACTGACAATGCAGTGCTCTTTTCCTGAATCTGTCAACAAATACTGTTTAACTTCAGTGACTGATGCTGCTAAAGAAAATAAACCCCCAAAACACCCCAAGAGGCACCAACCAACCACTACTGCATAAGAGCGTTGTGCCATGGCTGTTGTATGCCCTTTGGACAGGAGTGACACTAATTCCCAGTGTCATTCTGCTGTTGCTCAAGGAGGCTTGAACATATTCATGAGAAACAAGCTTTTTTCTTTCTTTTCCCTTGAGAGGTAAGGGAAAGCAGCAGCACACTGCTGTGCTCAAGGCAGTTTTTACAGAGCTGGAGCACCATTCTTGCTAAAGCAGGACAGCTGCACATCTAGAGGAGGGAGAGTGGTGAATGCAGTAACACCTGACAAGGTCCTTTAGTCAAACTCTTCAAGAATCACAGTTGTTCAGCCCCAAATTCTGGTGTATGTTTTTTTGTTTATTAGCCTTCAAGGCTGTTTCTCAGGCTACTTTCTTAGTACAGACAAAGCAGAATCTCATGATATGCCTGACTTTGCTTGGCATGAGCTTACCCACTTATCGGAGTTAACAGACTGCCAGCCAAAATAAAGACTGTGCACAGAAACTAACTGTTCCCTACAGCTTCACCCGATGACGCTGTACTAAGGTCAGCCAAAGTTAAAGATTTTTTTGTAAATAGTCTTTGAAAACTTAATCATGACAAAGATGTTAAGCCTTAATTTATTTGCTTTATACACTGGGGGAAACAGGGACTCCAGTAACATGATCATAGGCAAATATTTGCAGAGGAAATCAATCCCATTTACAGGCAAACAGTGCTTCACAGGTAGGAAGGACTTCCCCACCCTAGCAGCTGACCCATGAGGACCAGGTTCATGGTGACAAGCTTCACTGAAAACATCATTACCTGTTTAGGAAACTGTAGGACTCAAGTGCCGGTACTTGGAAGTGCTGATTGGTGTTTCTGGCAGAAAGAGCTGAAGGGCTTCTGAAACCACAACGTACATACAGATATTTTCACACCTTTAGCTTTATGTCAGAACATTGCAGCATTTTAGAGAAGTGTTTATAAATCCCTCTAATAAAATTTAGTAAGTCTTTTTTTTTCTGGAGCATGTGCCAGTGTATTTCAGAGCAGGCAGCAGAGTGAACAAGCCTGTAACATAAACCCTGCTGGGAGCATTTGTAGTTTTACCCAACACAGAGGAGAACTAAGCTATCAGGCAGATTTTTATTGTAATAACTTGTTATTAAATGAGTAAAAGGCTGGATTTCCCTACATCACACAAGAAACTATACTGATCCCTGTAGAGGTTTATTAAAAAACCTTATGAGCTTCATACCCATGTCTATTAACTGACGAAACTTAAAATGCTTTCAGAACATGCTTATAGACCAGAGGCCAAGGACATGTCTGAAAGCAATTCAGACATCTGAATAATTCAGACCTTTCTAATAGTAGTATCTTGTGCATGTCTAATTTTAATATTTATCATTAATAAAATATTGATAAAAATAATTTCTACTGGCTTTTCGAACGAATACATAGCTCAAAGTATCTGACATGGCAAAGAATCACTAACAGCATCTATAACCCAGCATACCTAATACCTGAACACTGCAGTCTTTACCCAGCCAAGGTAATACACAAGCTTTGTGGGAGGTACACAGCGTATCTATGTACCTCCCTCTCACTACACTACCGGTTGCATTAGAAGTTTTCGATGTGGTATCATTTCCTCCTTAGGCTAAGCCAGAACTGTAAATACCATAAATTTAAACCTCATACTCCCCAACCATAAAACTGTGGCTCTATGCCACAGTTGATAAAGTATTTTATTAGATTTTCATGACTGATATTTTATGACAATTCAGATTTGATTTCTAATCTAAGTTTGGACCCATATTCTTTTAGATGTTACTCTTTTGTGTGTGTGTGCATGTTTCTAAAAGGAGGTGTGTTAAATGGCAGCCAGTTTTAGTTAGTATTTTATCATTGGTTTAAGATGTTTCCATCCTAAAACTGGAGATTTTCTTTGCTCTTTTGTGAGAGGACGCCACCAGATGAGTTAGTGTCCAGCAGAAGGAAGGAGGGAATAGGATAAACATCTCCTAAAGCAGGTAGGAAGAAAATCATCTTCAGCATCTTCATCTGCAGGATTTACCTCTGTTCCCACCTTCTTACCTCTGCCTTTTCATCTGGGCTAAATCAAATGTCTGTGACTGCCCTGCAAGTTGGAAGGGGCAGGCTCTGACACTTCTAGATAGCAAGACGTCCAAGACAACTAAATTGTTCCAAATTGATTACTATTTGAGCTTAAAAGCAAAGTTATTGACCTTATTTTAAATGCTCGACTGTTGCTCACTTCATTATTTATGGAGTGTGGTACTTTCCCAGTCACTGCAGTAAGTTTTACAGTTTTGCTCATTCTACTTGGGTTAATAATTGTTGGCACATGAATGATCGCAAACGCAGCTGCCCTCAGTCTTCTGACTGCTTGCCCGTTTTTCTGACAACCACTGCTTGCACGTACGTGGTATAGTGCTGTTAAAGCACTCTCCACCTAACTCATCTCCAGAGTGGTAAATTCTGATGGGGACTTCAGTATCTCTGGTTTTCCTCACAATGTTCACTTCCTCAGGGAGCAGCAGGGAGGATACTCATTTTACTCCCAGCACGAAGTTTCATTCAGTAACTGCACACAAGTCTGTTTTAATGCCCAAGCTCTGATTTATTGCCAGATTTGTCTCAGAAATCCCTGCATAGATGGTTCGAGGCTCAGGCCAAAACCTCTGCAGACACAGTCCCTCATGTGACAAGCTGTGTGCTCAGCTGGAGGCAGAGGTTAGGGAGCTGCAATCTGCTCTGCCACACTGTCAGCCAGGAGTTAAAGCAGCACCATCACAAACCAAGACCAATTTTACAGTAACAGAAATGCTGATTTAATTAATCTGAGTAATACAGTTTCTTCATTGTGCTCAATTTCAGGGGACATGTAGTCAATATACTTTTAAATAAATACCTCATTTAACTTCAATAGTATAAACACTGTGTATTATTTTAAGAGTCCTGAAAATAATCGATTCCCTTCCATACCCCTGGAATTGGAAGTTCAGGTGTTGCTTCACCTGTGATGTTATTTACTACACACGTGCCTTGTAGTAATACAAGGAGAGAGAAAACATTGAGGGAGTCATACCACATAGCTGAACTCACCTTGCATGACAGGGCTAAGCAGTCTCTTTGCCAGCCTGGCTAGGTGTTTTCTGCCAAGGTAAGTTCATTCCTAAATATTGAAGGAAACAAAACAATGGTAAAAGGATGCCTGCAATTCACTATTATACAATATAAATTGCATTAAAAAAGCATTAATAGCATAACTGCAGTTTCTTTTAGACAAATAAGACTTTTTAAGTATTAAAATGATCAGTAAGAAACAATTACAAAAGGATAAATGTGAGCTATCCAAAAATAAGTTTCACCTGCCTCTCTGGAGTACATCTTCACATGATGAAGACAGGCATGAAGAGCAAGAGTTCTGCTGTTATACAACATCTCTAGCTACCACAGGCAAGTAAGTTCCTGCTACCATTTAAATAGCTTCATGCATAAGACCTTTGAAAAAAAATCTCCTTGAAGTTCAATGCTACACTGCAAGGAACTGCTTTCTGTAACACTTTCTGCTACAGCTGTCATTGGATTAACAAATAAGTTATACTTTTCAAAATAGCTTAGCCCAGCTTTGTCCAGTTGAACACAGTGAGCAGTTTCTGCTGTGACAAAGCCAGGCTTCTCATTTTCCAAAGCTTTAGGTTCAAATATGACTCTCTGTAACCCTCCTCCAGCCAGGGAGGCTTTTAGTGTTAATCTCGGTATCCACAAGAGAAGCTCAGTGTACTACTTACCAAAACCACATCTGCTTTTAACAAGCTGTCCCACTTGTCCTCAGCACAGCACAGACAGCTTCACAACTGGGACTCTGCAAAGGGAACCAATAAATGAAAGCACTGGTGGATGGGTCAAAGTTATGTATTATCACAAGGTTAGATGAAATCCGTAGCACTGGCCTTGCAGAAGTCTGCCTGCTTGCTCACCCACAGGATTTGACTTTGACAAAGGTGATGATACAGCAGTTTAGAAATTAGATTGAATGGTAGGCTGCAACAACTTATATACAGCACCTAATCCCAGTGCACAGGGGGCTGCTGCTTGGGCAAGTGCCTCCCATCCTATTTGCCTCCATCCTCCACAAGTCTAGTTAAAGACAATTTCAGTGTGGATATAGAAAGGGTCATATGCCAGCATGTGGAATGCCCCATCTTCTGCCAAAGCTTAAAAGTTCCTGTTTTCCCTTCTCCCTCTCAGAGCTTCTGCTGAGACCTGGACCTTTATCATACAAGTGCATAGGGAGAGTTTTCAGATAATCATAGTGTTGTCATTATCGTGGAAACAATAAATATTACTCTTTGTAACAAAACCACTCAAACTTGAGGCAAGTGATGCAGCTGAGGTATCAGCAGAGGTAAACCAAACAGCATTCAGGCATCCAGACCTCTGAACTGCATCTAATTGCATTAAATACTTACATCCTCCATGCAAAAATGGAGAGAAACAGAAACCCGGAACATCTTACATCTGCCTTTCCTCTCCCTAACAAGGTGGGATGCTGTTCAGAAGGATACATGATATTATGCCTCTGGGTGCTCTGCAGTTTCAAACAGAGCACCAGCACATAGAGGAATGAATCATTCCCTTAGTGCACAGCATCGTCTCTGTCGCTCAGGTCTTGGAGGCTCCTGTGCAGAACAGCCCAGGCAGGGCCTCTCAGAGCAATCCAACCCACCACTTTTAATGTCTGCCTCTCCTTCACATCCAGTTTTCTGCAAATTCTACAGAGGCAGCACACTGTAGTAACATTTATTATAAAGGCTCCTTCTCATCATAGGGAAAGGAGGTTTTAAAAAGCTGGAGTTATTTTAAGACAAGCATGATTCCCAAGATCTAGCTACCTCAGGCAATCGCTGATTTACCTAAATACCCTGAAACAACTTGGGCAACAAAGAGCATAAATGGAGCCCTCATTCCTTGCAGAGCCATCCTCTCCCTCATGTTGCTTACTGCCAGCAAGAGATAAGAGCTATGGATTGAAAAGGGCTGGATGCAGGAACAGCAAACAACTGCTGTGCAGGATTAGCGTGTCAGTGAGAGTCTTCTGGCTATCTGACTCAGGGCACTTGCTGGAATTTCAATGGTCCCTCCACCCCCCATGGCCAGAATTGATAAAACTTTTGCAGGCTTCTAAGCCAGTTTATTGTAACTGAATGGGGAAACGGCACCACTTTTCAGAACCAGGCATGACCTCTTTAAAAGCTTACTTTAAAATGGTTTTCAGTAAGACAACAGCTGTTCATCAGATTGTTTAGGTTGGAAAAGACCTTTAAGATCATCAAATCCAACCATTAACCCAGCACTGCCAAGTTCCCCACTAAACCATGTCTAAGTGCCACATCTACCCGTCTTTTAAGTACTTCCAGGGATGGGGACTCCACCACTACCCTGGGCAGCCCATTCCAATACTTGACATCCCTTTTGATGAAGAAATTGTTCCTAATATCCAGTCTAAACATCCCCTGGTGCAACTTGAGGGTGTTTCCTTTTTACTTGGACGAGGAGACAGGCATCCACTTTCCTGAGTTTCTTTCTCAGTCAGAACACTGAGTTACTTAATGGAGGCAATTTCCATGTCAAATTTCAACTCTCAACCACTTCAGCAGTGCAGTTAAGGAACATGAAAATCTTAAAGAAAATTAGAGGGAAAAACAGGAGAGAGGAAAATGTTTCTTCGCCTCAATTCACGATTTACGTGCACAGTGGGAGTGGGGGAATCAGGTTTTTTTGCTGCCAATCAGTATACCTGTGTTGATGTGAGTTTTTATGCTGACATGCTCTGGATATCTAAAGCTTCTGGATCTAAAGCCAGTACTGACTTAGAAATAAACAAGCAAACAAAACACCGATGTATTAACAAAAACCAACCAAGCCCCATACGCACACACAACAGACATGTGACCACAGAAGTAAGGAACAAACCCAAGTGCTTTCCTGACTGCTCTAGCAATCTTACCCATGCTTTTGGAAGCAGCAAGCAAGGCTGAAGTACAGCTGGGAGCCTTGAGGCAGAAATACCAACAGTTCAGACAACAGCAGTGCCAGTTGGTACAGTCCTCAGCAGCCACAAAGGTGGTTTTCACCCAGGAAAAACCAGTCTTGTTAAAAGCAAAGAGCATTGTGTGCTTGGTACCTGTCTGATTTCATGAAAGTAAAGCTGTACCCAGCCAGCCTTTCCTGAAATCCTTCCTCCTTCCAGTACAGGGCTTTATTTACCAGAACCACATGCAGCAGAGAGCAGCCTGAAGGCAAGAGGATGCTGAAAACTTCTAACCAGTTCTGCTCTCATCACCTAGCTGCTTGCCCAAGCACCTGCACATGCTACTGTTTCCACCAAATTCAGACAGAAATACAGACCACATATTAATTCTACTTGATTTTTCAACGCCTGGTGGTTCCACACCCCCCCCGTGTCTCAGAATACAAGTGAGCAGACATTTGTCAGCACAGACTCTCTGCCAGACCATAGACAAGGGAGACAATCAGCTTAACCTACCCTTGTACAAACAAGAGTGGGATGCCTTCTGTTGATTAAAGCCTGTATTCTATATAAGTAAAAGTGGACCAATGGGTTTCCTTAACAAGTGAGGCCTCTGAGCAAAACTGTAGAAGAAAGAGCATGAGGAAAATGCAGAGCTTCCCAGAAAGTCCATCTGCAGGAAGTTTAGCTAAGATTTAAGTGATCCAGCTACAGAAATTACAGAGGAATGCCTTGGCTCAGAGGGAGGAAAAGCTAATGTCACAGAGGAGACCTGAAACTCTCTAAGAACCCAAATACAAAATAATGCTTGAAACTGGTGAGTGCACAAAAACAAAACATAAGAAATGGATATCAAGTTTTTAACGTAGATGTACAGCTGTTTCCCTGCCCTAAGGAAGATACGGGTTCAACACGTTGTTCAGCAAAGCCTACAGATGTTGTAGTTATCAGCCCGCCCCCCATAGGGATTAGCTGCAAATATACAGCCTGAAGATCCCCAAAACCATATTCCCCACAGCAGGGGAAAACACGTGTATCACCAAAGGTTATCAGAGACACCGGCCAAGTTAGACTGCTTTAAAGCATGGCACTGGCTCCAAACAAAGCAACCTGTGGTTTATTAAAATGTGATACTCTTTTGGACAAACCAGAACAGAAACTAGTATTTTCCTAGATACACCACAAAACTTCCATCCCAACAAGCCAATCGTGGCATCAGAGCCTACCTATTAACAACACACCTTCAGGAGCACGTTAAAACTTCAAGCTACCTACACTCCTGCTAAAGCTTAGGATCTAGGCTTGTTTGTAAAGGTGCATTGCTGTCCTTTGCAGGTCCAGCTGGAGACAGACTGCTGCAGACAGCGGGCAGGGATGCACAGATCTTCACAAGCAAGAAAGTCCCTCCTGCCATTATCCCTGGCTGCTGCCCAGCCTGGGGATCCTGCCAGCGGGAACTGATGAGCAGCAGCAGGTAGAACACTGGATCAGTATCTCAGTCTGACAGAGTCATGTTTTATTGTAGTATCTTGTAGTCACAAGATTCAACTACGAGCATATGGAGCTGCAGACCGGAAGGTATGAATGAAGCGTGTTGTTTTGCTTTGTGACGCCCTTACAATGGTAAGGTCCCACTAGATTAGCAAAAGTGAAAGTCAGAGGAAGGAGAAGGCCAGGATCTGCCTACCAGGACAGAGTAGTACAAGAAAAGCAGCGCACAACCCCATTCTGCTCTTTAATCTCCCTATGCAGAAGCCAAATGTAAAACTGGGACTCAGGAATGGAACAGAAGACCTGTTTGTCCACATCTCACATAAGAACACACAGGAAAACACAGCCCCATGCTTTAAAATCACAACTATGTTACTAATGAGTGGCAGAAATCAGCCGAGGACAAAGTGAGGAGTTAACAGCCAGATGCTCCAGCTGTACAAAAGCTGCCCACAATTGCAATAAATAACTATGTCAGCCTTAAGTATCACTGTCTCACAGCTCTCCCCAAGTATTTTCCTTGAATTTCATTGCTCCCAATGCACCAGCTTCTACTTCTAAGGGAGCTGCCACCTCTGGGCCCAAGCAGCAGGGTGGCCAGCAGCCAGACAAGGCAGTGGTACCCGCAGAGCCCAGCAGCACTGCTGGCTCTCTCCCCAGGACCCTGCCCATGGAACCACCTTGTCCCCTGAGACATGAGCATTGCGAGGCTCCGCACAGCCCCCTGTGCTACTTGTACAAACCAAAGGGATTTTAGAGAAACAATTCTCAGCAGAACATAATGTTATAAAGAAAACTAATTTGTATGCACTCGAAGGTCAAAAATGCCACTTTGTTAAGACTACAGTACAAATCCCTGTTTTTTTTTCCTTTTTAATTACTGCATTTAGAAACATGATTTGAAGTCCTACTTCCTGAACCATGAGAAAGAGTAAGACGTTTCTAAACGTTCTACAGTTTTTGCCATGGCTGACATTACCCTACCAAATCTGTATTTTATGATGTACTAGATGAAGGTAACCTGCCCTGTCCAGGTTTGGGCCAAAGCTTGGAAAAGGTATTCATGGCACAGCAGAGGCAGACAAGAAACCCTCACATCACCCCAGCCACTCAGAGGAGCAGCCAGGCTATTTACCTTCCCTTTACCTTCAGCAATGGCTATACGCAGCACCACCTCTTCCCACGCAAACCCAAAGGGCTGCACGTCTGCCCTGCCCAGTTTGGAGAACTTTGCTGCTAGCAACCTCATTGTGACAATGGGAGGAGTAAGGTGTTACCACTGCAAACCCCACCTCTAACCTAGCTCTTCCTCCTTTCCTCCACATGCTGAAGGCCAGTCCTGCCCATGGCCACAGCTTGCCCCGTGGGTCACCACACACTGTGATGGTTGTGAAGGGACACAGCCCATCCCTCCCATAAACCAGCACCAGGCTACATACCAGCACAGTGGGGATGGGTGAAGTGCCAAGAGCATGTTGTAAACGTGGTCCCACCAGCACGCCTCTGTCCATCGAGCAGCAGTTCCTGGGGCCAGCCAGGCAGGAGAGGGCTGCTTCGTCCTCGCCGGTGCCCGCAGGATCAGGCCCTCGTCCCACCAACGCTGCGTCCTCCCGATTCCTGTTCGCAAACGACAAAGATGCAAAGCCTCCATGAAGTCATTCCCACACCACTTTCGGAACACTACCGGTAAGCGCACCCGGCTCCGGGCGGGCCCCGAACGGCCTCCACCCCACACCCCCGGGGCTCCGCCACCGAGCCCCCGCCGCCCCGCTCCCCCGCGGCGGGAGCCGGCCCGATTAAGTCCAGTTCGGCCCCGCATCGCTCGCACAGGTAGCGCCGGGGAGGGGCCCCTGCCCGCCCGCAGCGCCACTCACTCCGCTCCGCCGGGAGCTCCCCGGCCTCCCCGCGGCACCGACGGCGCTGGTGCTGCCGGCGGGGCGGGGCGGAGCGGAGCGGGAAAGGGAGGTGCCACCGCCCCGCCGTGCCCTTCAGCAGCGCCGCCGCGGCCCCGACCCGCCCGCCGGGCAGCACCGCCCCGCCTGGCGGGACACACCGCATCGCGGGCCGACACGGGGGTCTGACAGTTATGGGGGGGGGGGAAGCGGAAAGAAAAACGCGCGCCCAGGAAAAACGCTGCTCGTCAGCTTCAAAGGACGGAGTTACCGTGTCACATAGCTCATCACATGCTCAACTCAGGCCCTGGGTGAACGTGAACGCGCCACGGAGCGGTGCGTGTTGCAGCCCCGGTGAATGCTGAAGTGAAGCAAACCGAGGGGAAGGCAAAGGGTGAGGCCGGGGTGATGCTCCTGTTCTCTCCTGTCAGGCAGCATCAAGCCGTGTACAGCTGCAGACAAATATCGTTATACCAAAGCTATCTGAAAAATGCCCCCACCCCAAAAGGCAGCTCCTGAATGAAGGGGCTGAGCAGTGCCTCGATGCAGGCAGCACTTGCTGTGAGTGCAGATGTTGACCTGTGGCCAAGCCTTCCTATGCACTTAGGCAGCAGTTTCATTGCCGAGTAGGTTTCTAATGTATTCCAATTAGGTGCTGTCCAGTCAAGGAATTTATCACAGCTTTATCAAAGCCAAAGAAAACACCACACTGGTAATATTAGTCAAGAAAAACGCTATTGTACATGTAGCGCTGGGTCACAGGGAGGCCGGGAGAGCCATGGGCTGGAGAGGCACAAACACTTCCCGCGTCCCTCTGGGTTTTAGGAGCAGGTTTGAGAAGCTTGACCCAAAGCCCAGGCAAAGCTGGTGGCACTTTACTCTTTGATTTCAAGGAGCTTTGACTTGGGACCCACTGATGTGGGTAGATACTGGTCAGATATTTTTTACTGCTGTTTTAGGTTGCCTCTAGGTGGCTGGAGGAACAGATCAAATAAAATCATAGCACCGAGGATTAAAAGACAGAGTACTGGAAAGGCATCATTGCCTTGCATTAACACAGAGGCATTATTATGACAGTGATTTTTAAGCTATACACAGTTTTTAAATAAAAATTTGACAACTGAATTATGAATATTGTAGCAGTTTATGGTTATTGTGCTCTTTTTTTTTTAGTTTCTATTCTATTTATAATATTCTATTTATCCTGGTTTTTAACACAAGGCTCCACTTTTAACTTCAGCTTTAAGTGACCTCCCATTGTTCCCACTGAGTCCCCATCAGTTCCCACTGAGCAACTTTGAGACACGGAGCAGCCATTTCACAAGCTGCCTGCCCCTGCATGGCACAGGCTGCATTCACATCACTAGCACCCAATCTGATCACTTTGTTACATCCCAACAGATAATAACCCTATGGCACTGTGCACTGCTCACCTCCAGTGTCACAACTTGTCAACAGACTGTTTGGTCTGAGCAGCAGCACTTCAGTATAAAGTAAGGGGAAGGAACTGGGGGGAGGTAAGGAGAGGGAGATGTGTGTGATGGGAATTTCGAGCCAGTATTTATTTCTGGGTGCCAAAACATGTTTAATATTTTATTAGGTGTGGAGTATGCAAGACAGCTTATTATGTTTGGCTCAAGCAAAGCAGTCAGTCTTTGCATACAGCCCATCCATCTGAAATGACTGCCACCAGGCACAGACCACGTGCTCAATGAAATATTTAGCTCGTAAAGCATTTCAGTGTGAAAGGCTGGGGCCAGGCACAGGTGCTGTGATGCTGAAAACCACAATGGCCAAATCGGAGGTATCCCAGCCCCAGCATGGAGGCCTCAGAGGTGAACAGTCACTCAGAGAGCCAGGACACAGAGCCTGAGCCATGCATGTGCTGGTCTGGGGGGACACGGGCACCAAAGCCTTTCTGGGACTCAGTTTCCCAGCTTGTGCTACCCTCCCTCCCTCCATAAGAAATCATTCTGAACAAAGTTTGATGTTTTTGTTGTCATAAGATTTGATATTTATTTTCTTAGCTGTCTTTCATAGTTATTTACTTATTAGAGCTTGCTAGATCTTTCTATAATACAGTCTAAACTCTCTAAACGCTTGGCATGCCCTGCTGTATGTGCTCATGTTCATCCCAGTGGGGCACAATTGCTTTGATGTCCCCAGGGCAATACAAACACTTTCTGATAATAAGGTGCATGGAGTGGGAGGAGAATGGTGCTGACTGAACCCTGGAAGCTGCTGAATACTGCTAGTACTGGCATTGCTGGAATGGTAATTGGCTGCCAAACTAGATGACAGCAATGCTGAGGTTTCAGAGAAGCTTTGGTAAGAAATTGCTAACCTGCTAAAAAGTAGTAGGTTTTTTTTTTTGTTTGTTTATTTGTTTGTTTTTACTTTTTAATTTTAGTATATTTATAATTTTAGTAAGTTTACTGTTTAATTCACTTTTTAATTTTACTTTGGTATAAAATTTGTCACCTACCAACCTCTGTACCAGGCGCCAGACTTTTAAAGAGTTTGTCCAAGGGTAACAATAAATGAAATCTGGTTTCTTCCTTCCTCTGATGCAATTTCACAGTTTTTGTCCTCATCGTTCCACCTGCTGCCCTTCATGGCTTCTCCTCATCTGCAAACCCTTCCCCCTTCAAGCCTTCAACTCTCCTCTATGCCCAATAAGTCCACAATATCCTACACCCATTTCTGTACTATTAATCTCTTCTTCTGCTTGGCAATTTCTCAGCTCCCTCCTGTTTTACCTGTGCCAATTTACAACAACCCCAGATTTCTTCCACATCTTCTGACCAATACTATGTGCTTGGCCAGGTGGGCAAGAAGCAGCATGTGTTTTGACTAGGTGCTAGCCAGATGGCCAGTCCATAAGTCCTGCACAAAGACAAATGCTGCATCAGATTCTCCCTGCCATTCTTTCAGAAAGCAGAGAAAAAATAACTCTTTTTCCCAATCAATGCTTAAGTTAAGAACCCCTTGACATGGGATGTGGTATTCAAAACTCCATGGAGAAGAACTGGAACTGTCCAAATCCAACAGCCAGCTGAGTTCCTAGTCATTAGTTGAGGCTGAACCACTTCATTCTTGCTCTGCTTCTCAATTCATTTTACCATCCATGCATACACCTGTATTAAGGAGGGTTTTATGGAGACACGTGTTTCTAATGCAGTTGAAGAGTTAAAGAATGGAAGTAGGACAAGTATTCTCTGCCCCAGTAGCTTCCCTCCAGCAGGCCCATGGTCATGCGGTGACTTTACAAAATCTATTGCTACATGCAGAAATCCACTAACTGTATGTGTTGGAAAATGTTACGCAGTCTGAAAAGGATCAATATAGAGCGTGAAAAGCTAAATATCTCCTAATGATCTTGACTAAAATCTCCTAATAATCCAAAAGCCTTGGAAGTTTTGCCCAACATGCTCTGACCTCCATGCAATAAGGTGCTTTGGTAGAGGTTCAAAATCAAAACTACGATGCAAAGGAGGTCATCTTCACTGCAACAAACAGCTTTATAGACTAAGTAACTGCCTTTTAAATAAGTGCTCTGTTTTCAGAAACTTCTTGATGGGAAAGATGTTCTTTTCCTCAGCTATGGATTTTTCTCTTTTCTCCTTAATTCTTGTTTCATTGTGTGCTGCACACAATTGAGATTTACCAAACCTTTCCTCAGAGCTCATAATTTCTTAACATACTTCCTTAATGTTTGCAACCAGGTTGATTAAAAGTAAGGACAAGTATGATTAGAGTATGTCCAAGCATGCACCATCGAAAACTCTGTGCTGCCCTAGTTTTCAACTCTGTTACTACCAAAAGTGCATGACAGTGGTGATTGCACATTTACTCCAAACTTTATGGCGCAACATTGATTTCTAGATCACAATTATTTTTGGAACATCCCATCCTTCTGCTCTCAAAAAAGGGTTTGATAGTTTTAACTTTAAGTTTAGTATATGAATGTAGACCCTATTTCCACTTTCTTGTATGAAGATACCCTGAGTATTTAAAATACAGTGTTTAACCCATTGGTATTAACTTCACCTTGTTTTGTTACTTGGATGTGCTTATATTGCTATAGCTCGAAGGAGAAAACCAACGTGAACCATCAGCATATTCACTGAATTTCATACATATTAATGAATCCCCATACTATGTAAGAACAGGTAGGTGACTGTTATCATCAGTCTTCATCATGAAATGCAATTGACATATCTGGGGACAGACCTCCTTTTTCCCCAAAATGGGTGAAATACCCCATTTAGCACAGAACTTGAAGTACGTGCTCAGTTTTACTCATGTACTTACACTTCAGAGTTGTGCTGCAGTATTTCAGTGGGCAGGGGCTGAGTTCCAGTAATTCATTTCCGCCAGTCACCAACCCTGTGAAGACATTTGGAACTACTTTAGCCACCATATTTGCAAACTTTTCTGTCAAGAAACAACATCAGAACTTGTCTACATGCTTACAAATGTGCTAAAAAGATGATTATGACTATATGATACTATAAAAAGGTGCTCTGCCCAAATATAATGAGAGCTAAGGTGTGAATCTTATTCTTTTCTCCCATAGAACAAACACACTTACCAGTAATAAAAAAGAAGAAATCAGAAAAGGGGTTAGAAAATAAATGGCACATCTCTATACAGCACAAATGTTTGGCTACTTGAATGTAATAGCTGTCGGGTGCTTTCGTTTCAATGTGTGTTAGCCATTAATCCAAAACTTAATAGAAAGCTTGTAGTGGAAGTCTATTTGGACAATTTTAGGAATCTTTAAAATAAAAGTTTATTCACATAATGGGTCTTGATTGTTTGATAAACCCCACAATATCTTCAAGAACTTACATCATACTGGATCACATTGAAATACTGTTAAAAGAAGGCCATGAAGAAAATAGGTTGGGGCCTGTAGAACAGACAAGACAAAGTTTACAAGAAAGCATTGAGTCAGAGCAAGTCCATGAAGGCTTTTGTCCTCTGTTTTCTGCAAGGTAGGGCCTGAAATGCTTTCCTTATTTCTGCTTTTGAATCAGAAATCTGACACCTGTTTGTAATAAATGTCCTCTTGTCCATTCTCCATCATTCCTGTACCTCTCCCGTTTATCAAGAAACACTAATAAGACAAAGTAAATATTAAACACTGAAAACCATAGCTATCTAGCACAGGTTATATCTTTTGTAGCACTGTTACAGTGCAAAAAGACACTTCTGTCATAGCCTACAAATAGTGAGGTAAAAACAGGACTAAGAATATAGAGGAAATAAACTTTAGGACTGAAGGAGGACACTGTATAGAACATCATATCTGTAAGAGAAAGAATGGGGTTACTCAGCATTTGGATATACCAGATACAAGTGTGCCCTTCCTTTCAAAAAACTGAGATGCTTTTGTAATGTAAAGCCTTCTTTTATAAGCACCATATACTCTACGTGTGTAATTGGAAGAAAAAAAATGGGTTTAGGCTAAACAAACTGCTGATAATTTAAGGAATTTGTAAGTATGTGGTGACTGATATGAAGTAGTTTCACCATACTAAATTCTCTTGGGTTTCTCTAAAGCTTGAAGGTTATAATATTACCAAATCCTAATGCTTTCCTAATACTCTTGGGGCTTTTCAGATTGTGTCCCCTACAGTGGGGAGCACTGCTGACTCCCTGGGACTCTCTAAATTGCCTCCACTCGCCAAGGGCACTGTGGTTGATGTTTTCGAGTAAACACAAAGCAAAGACACCTGCGGAATTCAGAAGGAGACAAGAAATCTTACAAATAAAAATAAAATTGAGCATTAATTCTCATTAAAGAGAACAGTTTTCCAGAGTAGTGGAATTTTGTCCAGTGGAGGAGGTTGAGTATTTCAACTAAACAAGATTCACTGGCAGCGAGTCCTAATAGAGGAGTCCTGCTAATAGAGGAGTAAACTGTGTTCCCCAAACACTGACCTCAAGTCTATGGCTCATATTGGTGCCACGGCAGTGGCTAGCGGTCTTTTGAGAAACCTTCCTAGATGATAGCTCCTTCTATGGTGTATACAGGAACCAAGCACTAAATCACCAAAGCAGCACTGTGCATCCATCATGAAGGAAAACAAAAACACCAGCAATGAAAAGTTTGCAGGAGCTTTGGGGAACGAGGCAGCTACACCTATTGCTTCAGTCTATATATGAAACTGGAGATCATATTTTGCAGAAGGCTAACAGTGAGTCTGTACAGAAGTTGCCTATGAGAAGCAATAGGGACATGTGGCTTCAGCCACTCCACTGCCCAGCAACAGCTTGGGTGCAGTCTGCATACAGCCTGTACAGCCAGGCACTTAGCTCTTTGTGAATAGAGACCATGCTTATCCTATGAGCAGTACTGGAAAACACAAACCAGGCAAATACCAAATATTACTTACATTTGTGCTAATAAAGCAGAGATGAATACAGAGAGGAAACACTACCCAGAGAAATGTTCTTAATTTATATGCAAGTCCTCTGAATTTTTTTTATCAATACCTGACAGCACTAAAACATGAAGCATGGGAGGACATGCAAAACACAGCCCTGAAAACCCCAGGCAGCAGCACAGCCAGGGGATTAACCAAACATGGAGCATTAGAATATTGCAAAGAGGATCAAAAGAGATTTGTGACTCAAAAGCCACCCACCAGAATTACAGTCAGCTGAGAAGCCGGACAGGCAAAAAGTGGGTAAATCTTTTAAGTTTAGATATCTCCTAGAATTATCTCAAACTCTGGGATGCTCATAGCAATACATCACATCAGGCCTCCCTGTGACATGAGGCTGCAAACAACGCCATCTTCTTTCCACACTGAAAGTTATAGCTTTGTGATTGTCAAAAATTATTGGGGGAAACAGCACTGAATATGGTCACTGGCACACCAAAACCTGAGAGCACTGAGGATAGCAACAAAGCAGCAGCTGTACCAAAACTGCCATACAAAGGGAAATAATACAGAGAAATAAGAGCAATATAAGGACCCAATCATCCTGCACCAGTCACTTTTCCAAAATACATCACTCTCAGGGTCCCCAATCCAAAAAGACACTAAAATAAAATATTAAAGAAGAAATTGCTTCTAAGGAGAAATTAAAAGACCCATTGCTGTAGACAAAGCCATGGATCAGCAGAGCAGTGGCCTGCTGAGAGCTTGCTCTTCCCAATCTTGTGTACTTACTTGGAGAAGTCTCGTGTTTCAAAGGAATGTTGTACCAACATCTGTACCCTCATATTTCACACCGAGATCAACATCATTACGAGCAACAACTGAAGAAGGTTAACAAATATGAAACAAGGCTTTGTATTTGCCTTTGGTCTGGCAGGGATGTAGTGAACTTTCTCCACAGTTGGCCTGTAGGGTGTTTGGATTTGTGGCTAGGATGGTGTTGATAACTCACCAGTATTTTGGCTACTGCCAAGCAGTGCTTGCACAGCATCAAGGCTTTCTCTCTTTCCCACTCTGTCCCCACAGTGGGTAGGTTTGGAGGGACACGACCAGCAGAGCTGATCTGAGCTGGCCAAAGGGATATCCTATACCCCATGATGTGCTCAGCAATACAAGCCTGGGAAAAGGAGGAGTGTTTATGGTGTTGGTCTTCCTAAGTAATCTCTGGTTGTGCATGCTGAAGGCCTGCTTCCTAGGAAGCTGCTAAACATCTGCCTGATAATAGGGAGTAGCTTTGCTTGCACACCTAGCTTTGGCATCACCCACTACACTTTCATCTCCCATCTGTGAGTCTTCTCACCTTCCTTCTACTTTCTCCAGAGCCAACAGCAGAGGGGAGGGGTGTTTGGCTGTTGACCAGGAGTCAACCCACCACATTATTTCATCCCAGCTTTGTTCAGTCAGCCTGCCCCTAAGAACTAACATGTTCCCTGAAACACGCTCTCCATGTGTTTTATGGACAAGGATAAAGATGCTGAATAGGTATGAAATAGAGATTTTTAACTAGTACTTGTAGTAACTCCCAAAACCACCTTTGCTAGAAGATCAGTTTCTCAGTTCCGCGAAATGAAGCCATGTGGATGAACTTGTCAAAGGGTGGGCTCCTGCTGCCATGAGAGCAGCTGTAAGGTCTCTTGCTATTTTAAGAGCTTGGCCCACTTCTCTTAATTTTCCTTGAGGGCAGGCATGTATTCCCCTGTACTTTAAGGGATATCTTTTATTTCATTTGTTGATCAGCTGCCTGCCCAGCAGAGGCAGCCCATGCGGAGCCGACCAAACATTCACCCTGCGGTGCAGTTTAAACTGGTCACTGCACTAATGAAGTGGGCAGAAAAACTGGCTCCTTTTGAGCACAGAGCAAATGGATTTTCAAATAGGAAATGAGCCAGAAGATGCCTTAAAAAGAAGGTGGGGTAGAGATTCCCTCAGAGGCTACATTAGGGCAAAGACAGGGAACTGAAGGATGAGGATGCTGATAGGGCAAAGACAGGACTGAAAGATGCACATCCCTCAGGGAGATTTATGGGTGACTGAATCAGAACTATTGCTCCTGAAGACTTTCATTTCCCTATATTGCCTCACTGGCTGAGATCAAATCCTATGTACTTTCTCTCATACACCAACATCCCCTTTTGCAGCACAAATGTCAAACAGATTCCTTTATAAAGACAAAATTACTTAAACTGTCACTGAAATGAGAAGGTAAATTAAAAATTAATTTTTGTTAGAGTCTAAGTTACAGACAACTGTCATCATGATTACCTCGCATAATAAATTTTTTGATAACTACAGACATTACCCAATATCCAAATGATCTAATTATCTAATTATTATTAGATAACCTTTCCACTGTGTGAAGTTTTCAGTTGCACAATCTCAAATCAGAACTCTTGAACACAGTGAAATTTATGACAGCGCATACAGCAATCAGCAAGAGGCAATGCACTTTTTTTAGAGATTATAAATAGAAATATTATCTATTGCCACATAATGGCAAAGAAGAAGGTAAGATGGATTTCATTCATGGCGTACATAGACCCTGATATCCCCAACTTTGCAATTTAATTTTAGGAGGAAAAATTGACTTTTAACATGGTACAAGTGATTTCCTGGGGGGAAAAAAGCTGTCTTGAGGACACCATGTGCATCACAGAACAATTCTGTTAAAATAAATGTTAGTTACGGATGGTCTGTGTAACAGTTGCTCTATACAGAGATTCAACAGAGCATGAGTATACCCTTTTAGGATACAGATACAGATTGGTGTTCTGCTTCCATGTCTCAGTTTTCCCAATTTCTAATTAATATTATGGCATCCATTCCTACCTTAAATATAGCAGTGGAAAGAATACTTTAATTGGAAGACCAAGGTAGACAGCATAAGCTTGCTACACATTTATTTCATTAAAGCAGGGATTTGAAGAAAAAGTAATTTTGATCGCAGGTAGAGAAGTATTTATGACTGAAAAGACTCAAAATATTTGATCTGATAATGTGC